GGGGGGGGGTAGTGGAGCCGTGCATTTTTTTTACATAAGCCTCGAGCTCAAATGGCTCATGAGATATTAAGTATAAATCTTATAAGCCCACATAAAGCTCTTAGCTCGATCGCACTCGCTTTCAAATATTGAGAGTGCATCTTATTTTAAATATGGCTATGACCGTAAAGAGTTTAATCTAGCGAGAGCCACAAGCCGTTTCATGCGTCCCTGGCGTTTGAATGTTGCTTCTGCAAATTTTGAGTATCAATCTAGCATCGACACGACATTAATTTTTCCAAGACCGTTGAATACAGTCTGAAGTATTAGAGAGCTAGAAACGGAAATCTACCAGTATCGGCAATATCTCCGCCACCAAGACCGAAGCGATTTTTTAAGTCGAGTACAGCTAATGATGGTATCTGTATTGCCGCTACAGCGGAGGAAAATGGTTTGTAATTACTGACAAAGCCACCAAAGACAAGAAGAGAAGAGAAAGAAACACTTCATACTAAATGACGAAAGATATCAACGTTGCAACACGAACTTGTACACCATAAGTATAGCATTGTGATAGACAGTCGCTGGGCAGAACTAGCCATATGATGTCTTCCTGCTCGAGGTATGCAAAATTATCTACTCTCATGAGGGGGCAGGGCTAAGTATTGGATCAGGCTCGAGGGTTTGCATTCCAACCCGTGATTCTACGTCAAGAAAATCGAACCTGGTGCAAACGACAATGCTGCTTTGTAGCTTATTTTTTAAAGACAAGGCGGTTGCGCTTAAAGCTCAGCTGGTTTGTCAGATGCATAAACTTGACGTTATCATAACCAAAGTTTTTAAGTGATAATCTCGGTCTTTGCACAGAGATATCGCCATTGACATCACGATATCCCCTTGTAACTAACCTCGACGTGTTACCCGGTTTTTTAATCCCGATAACTGAGTCACTTTATTAAAGACGCCCTTCTTATGTAGCCGCGGTGTATCTATTGTATCCACAACAGCATTACCGCTTCGCTCCTCGCACTCAGTGCTCTGCATCTTTCCTAAACACCAAATTCATCCATGCAAAACGATAAGCTAATCTTTTGCACAATCCCTGTAAGCCCTCTGCCGCTTTTTTTCAGACATCCTCAACGAAGGGGAATGTGAGGATAGACTAGGATATCCTAGGATTACCACAACCATTTCGCCAGCGAGAAAATCAAATGGCACTCATCGCAAACCAATACCGCCTCACTGCTCTGCGCGGCGGTCGCATCGCTCGGTATTCCGTACTCCATGGTACTTTTCATCATTACGAAGATGAAGATTCCTAAGCCACCGATGGCTAGACCTTCTGCTCGCGACTCGTAGTCATCCAGCTTCAGCAAGGATTTGCCCATGAGACCATGACCTTAAGCCGCTTCATTTTGTCTCAACGGATTAGATTAAATTCAGGTATTCGTGAACACAGTCATTGCATCTGATGACCCAGATATAGTTTTTGGGGATCACTGTGAGCCATAAAGCTCAGATTAAGATCTATGTTACAACAGAGGATAGCTGTGAGGTGCACGAAGACACACGATTGACCTCGGTCCGCCGCCTCTGCCTTCCAAGCGTCCCTCAAGGGTCTTAGCAGTATATTCGTCGACCACGAACGTTCGGTTGCTAAATTCTGTCTAATTCAAGACACATTATTGAAATTGCACTATTCGGTCCGCCGCTTCTGCCTCCCAGGCGTCTCTCAAGGGCGTCAGCAATATCTTTGCTAACTTTTGAGTACCAAAATATATCCCGTTCTATAACTGTCACAGCTTTATGACCGTGTCGGAAGCGATTATGATTGTCAAAGAGGTGAATCACTGCCCATAACATATTGCTCTAACAGAGGAGTGTACAGCACCCAATAATTTTAACTGTCAACTGATCCATAGCTCGTGACTTTCTGGTCAGGTCTAGTTCAGAGTTTATCGGACTCAATCCGGGTCTAAGACCAGACAACGTTTTTCGCTTTTGAATCCCACAAACCCCATGAAACGATTATTATTCTTTACACCGCAAAATGTACAACTCGGCAAATAAGACCCACTGTAATTGCGTCGTACGTAAAAGCACGACACTCCAAACCAAAAAAAATCACGGCTTTGCATGGCCCGTGACGTTGGTGGTAGCGATCGACACACCTAGGCTGTGACATTCATTCAGAAAAGGTCACTCCACTAGGCCTTGAAACCATTGACCTCGACCTCCGTGATGTAAATGATTAGTTCTTTACTTCTCCTACAGTTTCTTGGACCCGACGTTTCTCCGCCAGAGTATCCTAACCTCGCACCTCTCACTCGATGAATAGTGATCATTCTGGTGTAACACTCGCTGATACCTCTGCATCAAGATCTCTCTTACACTGCAAGCCAGCTAATATATATACTCCCCACTAAGCTATTGCCACCTGAGCTTAGATCAACCCATGCGGATCAAAAGGTGTTTTTTATAGTCACAGCGGTAGAATCGCTATATTGAAAGAACTGGATGAGTGCGGGATGCATTGGTGCTTAGACAAAGATTGCAACCGCAAGCGGTAAGCCTGCTTAGATGGTACAAAAATTCGCAGCCTACTAGTATCGAGAACAAGTACGATGAGCTGTTGCTATATCTAGAGCAAAGACAAATGTCTGGTCGTCCGATCCTCTCGTATCCAGAAGTAAATGTTTCGTCCTTGTCTTCAAATAGCCTGACGCCTAGCAAAGCGATCGCACATTTTGGAGTTTTGTGGTAGTTGGTTGTTCCTTTAGACGTCTGTTCGAGACGTTCCTGAATGATTCTCATCTGCGCATTTTTAGTCAGTAAGCACCTCCAGGCGAACGATAATCGCTTTCAATCCATGAACTGCCAATTGTACTATCCCCTCGCGACAAACCAGAGGCAACCCTCGCTGAGCGCAGCAAGGACTGATACATAAAATGTCGTTCTCCATTTTCATAATGGATACGTTCTTCTTCGGACTTGGTCATCGAATTGACGACAAGCGCTACCAAGTGTATGATGCGCCGCACACCTCGCATCGAATAAGCTTTGACTCCATAACGAACGCACAATGGATGAGGTTGTACGCTTCATCTAGGTGCGGAACCAAGAGACTCAAAGACTTTTCTTCTTAAGATCTGAGAGTGACTAACTTTATCGCTTTATCCATCGATAAAATCAAAGCTCTTTACACATGCGTGATGCTAGTAGTTCCTTTTACGAAGTATCATTTCTTTCGTACGGTAAAATCGTGATGTTTCTTAAGTAACTTACCAGAATATCATTTGAGACATTACGTTTCAATATGAAAAATTCTCATTTATCAACAAATGCTAATTGCAAACTCAAATCTATTTACGTTTAAGCTTGCTTGAGTCAAGCTCTAGTACGTTTAGAATTCTGCTAGTAGCATGTTTTGCATTCGAACGATCTGACCACACTTCAAAATATAGAGATGTTGATCGATTAATATATCGTCAGTTGTCGATTACGCCAAATTTACGGGCACTTTTTGTGAATAAGTGTAGCCCCATGCTCCGTGTATTCTGCTTTGGACATCCACATCTCGTGAAAAGATCCCAAAGACGCTAAAATCGAACCACCTAAGAAAGAACCTATTCGACGTTCTTGTGCGTGGGCTGCCACAACCTTTACACGTAGACTACTTGTGAACCCATTTGGAGGACCATTAGTGATCGATCCCGTGAGTGGAAGTGGCATTCCGCTGAGCGTAGTCACCACCTCCCGTTCGATTCTCGACGGCATATTTTCAAAACATGAGCTCCCTCCAGTTAGTACAAGGTTTTGAAATAACTCTTTTCGTAACTCCGTTTCAGTTGTCAGCCCACCAGTTTCACAAATTAATTCCGGAAGGCTCATTCCTGGCCCAAAATGCACAGAAGGATTGCTGTCCGAACTGTCTGTCGCATTTGACGATGGTTTTGCTCGAAAATAATGTTCGGCCACACTAAATCGCTCTGTTCCTAGCGACACTATTGTCTTGTCTGGTAATTCGTAACTAATTAGTGGCAACTGCGCATTCTGCACTTCATCAAATGGTCCATCCGCCACACGACACAATCCACTCTCCTTTGCTTCTATCACATACGACCACTGCTGTTTCTTTCTCTTGGCCAATTCTGCCTCCACCGACGTTGCCGCAATTCTAAGATCACGAGTTTTAGCAATTTGTGGAGCCAATTTAGATTCTAAAAATGCGTCTAAATCATGACCACCGAATAATGTCACCTGACTTTTAGGGTACGCAAAAGCGTATCCTTCATGTACCGAGGTGACACTAGTATAGGTTGCGCCCATTTCGACAACCAGGCCACTCGTCCTAGCATTGGCATAGCAAGCGAGGACAGCGCTCTTAGCGCAGAAGAGAGCAGGCACACCCAGTTCCTCCATCACGACCTCCACCATCTGCTCTCGAGCCTTCAGGTCCCTCTTCTTGCTAGCACTATTAGCCTGTACTGTTTTTGTTTCTTTTGATCTTGATCCGGCATCATCCTGCTCATTATGCGTTGGTCCTGCATCTCCTGTAGCTTCTTCAGGCAGCGTGAAAGGTCGCTCCACAAACAGTAATGGATGTTCACTTAAACGTGTATGTAGTCTAGAGCTGCTAGCGTCGAACAACCATTGAGCCAGTTTTTCTGGGTCGCTTTCAGCCTGTGCTGACCTGCGATTCAGGCGTCGTTTAAACTCCACAGTATCCTGCGCTTCGTCGTTGGGTATCGGTCGTTCGTATACACGCGGATAGTCCTCACCTGCGTAGCCAAATTTGCACTTCGACGTGCCAAACTCGAATACCAGTGCATCTAAATCATTAGCTTCTGTAGCTGCACTCGAGAAGGGTGTATTGCCACCGCTGTGATGATCACCTTCGTTCGCTCCACCGCCAGCATACATGGCTGGATTGATTTATTTGATGTGCTCAATAATGTATTCTTTCAGAGAGTTTTACGTATAAATTTTAGCATTTAAGTCGAAAAATTATTTTATGAAGCAAGTTCCAAATCCTCATCCGGAAAGCATATTTATACGGTATACATCGCGACATAATTACAATAATATTTGGGAGAATCTTAAATACATCACGCTGAATAGTCTGCGAATATTGCAATGTAATTTCAACACTCAATTTAAGTCAGAATAGAGTCTTCGTGAACCAATACTGTTGAAAAGTTACAGTAGGTTACTTGTGATGTCGAGTTCAAGTTGGCACTTCAAGCATTCAGGGTTCGACCAGTGAGCCAACAGCTATAAGTAACGCATACCTACTAAATTTTTAGTGGCTACGAGAACTCTGGCGATGCGTATGCGTACAGAAACAGATCGGAAGCCAAACACGTTGCTGGCGTTCATACTCTCGTCTTTTTCAAGCATTTAGTCGTGCATCAGCAACACTTGGAGTTTATCTAGCAAGTTATATTCATTATATTTAAATTACCTATAAGTATGAGCGTCAAACATCATGACATAGTTTCATATATTTGAATTCGAATACAAAACCCTTAAATGAAGCGATAAATACGTACTTCTATCATATTCCAATGGAACCGCAATAGCTGCCGTAACGATCGCTTCGACTGAATATAATGTAGTTCAAAGTTATTTGATCGTTTCTATTTTCGCACAGACTTTGTCTCGCTACTAGCGCGTTTTACAACTACGTGCCAAATTTTAGCTCCGGCTTTCGGATGATGAAGATGTAATCAAATAGCACTGTCGAACATCTGTCAGTTATCACCAGATCTGAGTAATTGATCCAAATGCGAAAAAATAGAACAATAAAAAGCCATATATTCGCTAACGTACGTTGCGCATTCGACGAACATGCTCAAATGTCCCGATTGTCATTTCCTCTTCAAGCTCTTAATTTAAGCTCGAGAAAGCATATTTATCATATGGAGATTACGTCCAATCGTTACTATCGATGTCTGATGCGCTACTGCCGTGCCCAGGACACACAAAGGCAGTTAGAAATAGCAGTAGAATAAAGTGATAGACTTGATCATCGTCTGAAGACTTGAATCTGTTCTGTGCTGATGTAGACAAGATCAAAAATATATATCTGCCATCTCCATGTCGCAGCCAATGTTATTGGAAGGTTAACAACAATGAGCCCAGCTTAAAATTGTCGATTTAGACACAGGTATATTGTGCCATACTCGAGTTGTCTCGTTTTTCAGTACAACAATTATTCCAGAGTGCTCAAGCTGTTATCATGAGGCTCATACACAACCGCTACCATCTCAAGCAACAACTTGCCGAGACAACGTATGGAGGCATTTATCTCTGTACTGACGAGCTCCAAGCCTCACGATGTGTGGTACTCAAAAGTGTGTCACTCGTCCATGCCATCAACATGTTGGACATTCGCAACCCTGAACTACAATCTCCTGATGACCCACGACAGGAGCGTGCTTTTGCTACTTTTCAGCGCAGCCAGGCGGCCTCCCACCCACACATTGTGCAATACGTAGATGACTTTATTGAGGGTCAAATACTGTACTTCGTGCTTGAATATTGTGTCGGTGGTGACCTTTACTCTGCAGTGAGCTGTTGTGAAAATCGACGTCTTGAGTGTGCAAAAGCTCTTGCAGTTGTGAAGCAAATAGCTATGGGTGTCGCTTATTTGCATAGCCACAGTATTGCTCATAGAGACTTGAGTCTTGAGAACGTCATGCTTAATCATGGAGTGTATAAGATTGGAGACTTTGGACTATCGACTAAAGCCGATAAACTCTGTTTTGGACGCGTGGGGAAGGCGTATTATATGGCACCTGAAGTCGTGGCCACAAGTGAATTGTACGATCCCAAGGCAGCAGATGTCTGGTCGCTTGGCATCATTTTTTTCATTCTCGTGACTGGTTCGCCACTTATTCAGTTGGCGGCAGAAAAGGACGTGGCTTTCCAAGTGCTACGAAAGGTCGGTGTGCGGGAGGTTCTGCACGTTTGGCATATGAATGAATTGCTAGAAGAGAGCGAGATGATGCTTTTAGAAGGCATGTTGCAATGCGATCCGACTGAGCGATTGACTATTGAACAAGTATTGAATCATGAAGCTTTCATACGAAGGGGCATTGCGAATTGAAACTCGGGAGTGCTTATCTTGTAAATTGATGTTATAAATTGATATGTGTATCGAAGCAATTCTTACAGATAGAACCTCTTTTATCGATAATCAAGCTTCAAAATAGTGAATAGTGTAGAAGAGATAGGTTCGTCGTTTGACGTCGATTACCTGTAGAAACGTAAAATGTGAGTTCAAAATCAAATGCAAAGAGAATTTCTGGTTATGAAGATCTTCGATGGGATTGCAGTAATTTGTGATCGTCCTTTTTACCAAGAATCATTCAGGCTATTCGCAACCCACGGATACTGGCATAATCGTGAGATTAGTGCGTGAATCTAGAACAATAATATTCGTGGTATTCGACAAGACCTATCCGACATTGACGCGTCAAAAGGTGCAGAGCCATACAACAGACAAGAGCGGCTAAAAACTAGTATGTGATCGAAAGGTTTAAGCTATGGGAAGGTCATTTATGATATTGCTGATATCTTGCCGATTACTTCGTACATTACGTTTTATAAATGCTCTGACGATAGCGCAACCTCAAGCACACTAGCAGTCAATAAATCGGCGTATCATGCTTTAGTAAATAAAAGGAGAGTGCAAATCGAAAATTGGAAAGCCTACGTCGGCGTGATCGTGAAAAAGCAAATCAATACGGTGGTAAGAAATCTGCTAGAAAATCAAGCTGCTACATCGTAGGAGTATCGAGCAAAGTTTTTGGTTAGCAAAGTGTGATACCTAGCTTAGCTTTGATATACTTAATTCTTCTTCATCAACTCTTGCCTGCACTGCACAAATTTTACGTAAATCATTCATACTACATACCACAACTATATCTTAACCATATCTTTCTCAAGCTTAATATTGGAACAAGTGGGTTTGTCATAAGATTCAGTCATATGACAAATTGAGTCCGCATGTAAGGATTGTTGAAGACTGTTGGGTTCGTAAGAGCCTTACGGGAATTGACATTGATAAAGCCTTTGAGAAACGATCTTGCCACCCAATCTTCAATAATGTGCAATACTAATTCGAAGGAGAAATACATTGCAAGAATTCCACAACGATATCATTGGACTCGTGCCAATTAGCCAAACAGAGCAATATAAATTTCTAGCACAGTGCTGAGTTCAGGATAGTCTACATGATTCACCTCATCTTGATCACAAGAAGTAAAATAATGTCATTTGTGGTGACTCTATTGCTTTAGTAGCTCGTTTGGCTCATAAGAGCCACGAGGTTTGAAAGAAACCTTACCACAAAGATATTTTCAATTGAACTTTCCAGCTTGCTATTATAAATTGCATTTTCGAGTGAGTTGAGCACATAGCTGAGTCTCAAAAGCTGCTTCGCGAGCATCAAATTGATATGGAAGGCCCGTTTAACAATCTTAAATACTGATAAGCAACACTGACGCCAGAAGGCCCCTTTCTGGTTAACGCTTTCAATTCAAGGAAGCCGTATCAGATTGGTACCCATAGGGTGCACGTTTTTCTAGTCGATCATCTACAATTTAGTTATCTTTCTATCTAGTATCGAAACCGAATCTAAATCAATCGACGCGCCGTTTTGTCAACTATTAAGTTCACCACTAGAGATGCTTTAACAAACGAGATTATCAATAGCCAAAGTAACGGGAGATCTATTTTCATCTGTCGTTTACATTGACAAAGGCCATAAAATTTTGCCTTACGCTCGTTTGACATCACCATGGTACATTACTCCCCTTTAAGCAATAAAACGAGCTTAGCAAGTAGCCCACGAAGTAATTCTACCACCGGATTCAAGGTCTATGGTAGCGTATTTAAAGTAAGTTCTCGTTATCAGTTCCTTCATGCATTAGGAAAAGGCTCGTACGGCATCGTTTGGTACGTCACTTATCATTTGAATTGTTACCACTTTCTGTAGCTAACCATAAATGCATATCAAGTGCGGCAAAAGATTGTGAAACAGGTCAATGTGTCGCTATTAAAAAGGTTTCTCCAATGACTAGGCGTACAGCTGATGCAAAGCACACACTTCGGGAAGTGATGTTATTGCAACATCTTGGTAAACATCCAAACGTACGAGCGCGATAATCATGTTGCTCAACGTCGAAATACCTCACAATCTTTACATTTAGGTCATCTCGATTCATAACCTTTTAGCTAATTTTAAAGACGACGAATTGTATATTGTTATGGATCTCATGGACACAGACATGCATCGAGTGATACAAAGCTCGCAGCCCCTTTCTGATGCTCATGTGAAATACTTTCTACATCAATTATTACGTGGTGTGAAGTATCTGCATGATAATGGTGTTTTGCATCGTGATTTGAAGCCTGGAAATCTTCTGTTGAGCAAAAATTGTCAATTGAAAATTGCCGATTTTGGACTAGCACGTAAAATTCCGCGAACTTCAGGCAGTATTTTTGAACGTCCGCGATCTGCTCCAGCAGCGAGTATGAAATCCAATAGTCCAGAGCAACCTCCAATGACCGAACACGTTGTTACGCGATGGTATCGAGCACCAGAGTTAATGCTGCAACCAGATGGATTTTACGACCAAAGTGTAGATATGTGGTCTGTCGGGTGTATATTCGCGGAAATTCTTGGACGCAAAGCTTTGTTTCCTGGTAAGAATTTCTTACACCAATTGAGTTTGATATTTAACATCATTGGAGCACCGTCACCTGAAGCCACAATTCGAATACAAAGCTCCCAAGCGCAGCGATTCTTGAAATCTATCAGTAAAAAAGCAAAAGTTTCCTTTCAAACACTATTTCCAACAGCTACAGAGGCAGCTGTTGATTTACTCGAACGTATGCTAGAATTTGATCCATTGAAACGAATTTCAGCTCAAGAAGCACTTGAACATCCATACATGCAAGAGATTGAGCAGAAGTATCGACATCGTGGTGAAGAAGACCCTCCTCCATGTATGCGAGGAGATTTCTCGTTCGATCTTAAAAGTCTCACGAAAATGGATTTACGGGCGCTTATTGTTAATGAGGTGGAACACCACAGGAAGGTGCGATCAAAAAGTATTGTTGCGATAAAGGAAAAACGAAAAAAGCGTGAAGTTCACGGTCCAAACTATTCCAATTCTACATCTTTTGCCTCTCGGGATCGAATGAGCGAAATGATAGGTCAAACACAAGAACAAAATAACGAGCAAAATGCTACGACTGTTGCTAGATTTGGATCAAATCGGCAGCGAATTCGGACGAGGAGTAAACCTCCTATTCCAAAACAACGAGAATTAGATCTTTTCGCGTCAAATCAGCAAGAACACGTCAAAGTTGTAGATTCTCACTCGACAGTGTTGCTGAATCGTGTACCCTTCCAAATCTCTCGATATTCTGAAAATGACGTTAAGGCTGAGACTATGATCAAACCTGTGCTTGATCGATCACAAAAGTCTTTGACGGTAGCACGAGAGTCTAATCAAACATGTTTGTTAGAGCGAACGGCCGTATCCAGCAAACCAACTTCGACTAAAGAGCATAATGCTCAAGAGTCTGATATGAACACTCTTGGGCCTTCCATCACTTCAAACCAGCGCACAAAGGCCTTAACTCCTGCACAAGTGGTCTCAATGAGGAGTTCTTTGGTTCCATTACACCATTCTCAAGCATGGGAAACGAAAGAGAATAAAGATTTAGAGCCTTCAGCATCAAGTTTGTCAACGTCTTCTCTAAAGGATCCTGATGTATGCACTGAATTGAATCGGGTCAATCGAGTAGAACCCGCAGTTGTTAATGAAAAGGCAAAGTCTGATGAGGCGGTGGCTGCTACGATAGCATCTCGAAGATCACGACGAGTTTGTTCGGCTGGCACTGCTAGATCAAAGCGTTCGAGTGCTCAAACGGTAGCAAGAAGGTCAAGTTCCAGAAACGCTTATGTAGGCTCGATAAATTCACTTATCCAAGCTCATAGATCACATAATGATCAATCTTTGGCAGATTTGGCTGACAATATGCTGGCGATGATGAGGCAAAATGACGAACTTGGTCTTTCGAAGAAAGAAAACGAACTGTTATGCATCGATGCGTTACGCAAGAGATCCGAGCGGTTTCAATCAAAAATACTTGGTCTTGACATCGTGGACAAAAAGCATCAAAGTAAGAAACTTACAGTGCCAAAAAGTCCTAAATTTTCAGTCATGTCATGGCAAAAGAAATAGAAATCAAGTCATGTAGCATATATGGAATGCCATTTACACAAAGAGCTTATCAAGTTAAGCGGAAAACGGTTCCTAAATTACCAAATCCTTCGATCATTTGAGTGCTTCTTAAGAAAGTTAAGACGTAGAATGCCGTAAATTACGGCGCCACTGGTGTAAAAGCCTTGCGTGGTGGATTCAGCGGAGCAGTTATGTGTTTTTTCGATTTTGGAGCTGCTTCCTTGGCTGCTAGCATTTGATCCATCTTTTCCTTCACACGACGAGCATAATGTTCATCCACCTCTTGAAAATTCTTTAATGTCCGATCCTGAACCTTTTTCTCGGCGTTAATGAGCGAAGTTGCAATGTTATCCGTTAAGCGTTCACGAGCTTCATCATCCAACACTTTGCGATAAAATACCTGAACTTGCGAAAGGTTATCATCATCTGGAGACGGATATTTATCCACGACCGTGTGCTCTCCATCGTACGAATTGTAGCGAAGCGACTCAACTTCCTCTGGTCCTCCCATACTGTTAGGAAAGTAAGTAGGCGCATCACCCATGTTCCCATTCACAACCATCGGACCATCTCGTTGGTACGTCTGTGGTTCATTCAGTGGACGATTTACCGGAATTTGCTGATAATTTTTTCCAAGACGATGACGCAGCGTATCCGGATACGAAAACAAACGACCTTGTAGCATTTTATCAGGTGAAGGAGTGATTCCAGGCACCATATGAGAAGGAGAAAACGCCAATTGTTCAACTTCAGCAAAATAGTTTCGTGGATTCTTGTTCAACACCAATCGACCCACTTCTTTTAAAGGAAAATCACCATGAGGCCAAACTTTTGTCACATCAAATGCAATATGCTTATGTTTCTTTGCTTGCTCGGGTGTCATAGTTTGAATGTACAACGTCCATGTTGGAAACTCTCCTCCTTCAATAGCTTCATACAAATCACGATTGGCATAATCCGGATCGGCACCTGCAAGAAAAGCAGCTTCATCCACAGGCATATTCCGGATTCCTTGATCTGTTTTAAAATGATACTTGACATAAGTCAATTTACCATCCGAATTTACATTACCAAACGTGTTGCTACCATATCCATTCATGAATCGGTAACCATTTGGAATTCCACGATCGGAGAATAGCCACGTCTGCATATGGAGCGACTCTGGACGCAGTGACCAAAAGTCCCAAGCCATGTTGGCATCCTTTAAATTTGAAGCGGGTAAACGTTTTTGCGAATGGATAAAACTTGGAAACAAGATTGGATCACGAATGAAAAAGATGGGGGTATTGTTGCAAACAAGGTCCCAATTCCCTTCTTCCGTATAGAACTTAAGTGCAAATCCACGCGGATCTCGCATTGTGTCGGGACTTCCATGTTCACCTGTTACAATTGAAAAGCGAGCAGCCACAGGCGTTCGCTTACCCACTTTTGAAAATAATTTAGCACACGTGAAATCGGTGATTTCGGGATGCGTCACCTCAAAGTATCCAAAGGCACCACCACCTTTGGCGTGCACAACACGCTCTGGAACGCGTTCCCGATCAAAATGTGACAGATGATCGAAAAATTCAAAATCTTGAAGAAGAAGTGGTCCTGTGGATCCAGCCGTCGCAGAGGCGGTAAGACCGTATTTTGGCATCGGGGCTCCATTACTCGTCGTACAAGTTGGTGGTGCCATTGTAAGTGAATGATTCTGGTTGCAAATACAAAAATGGGATTTCAACTTTCAAGGATCATCTTCTTCTGCGAAAGGGATTTCAGTGGCTGACAGTCGTGACTTTGGCTTCTAATTGTTTCCAGACCTAACTAGAACGTAGCAGACAGTTAGCAGAAGCTTATATGATTTTACTTGAGATAAGTTGTTCTAAAAACCCGTTATCTCTTGGCTGTTCCAATGGCTTATTATCTTGAAAATAGCTTTCTCTGATTTTGTCTTCAATTACATTGAACACGTTGAACTCCCTATGTCAATGTGCAAATTCAAAGGCCGTTTACTTCTCCAAGATGGTTTACACTAAATAAAAATCAGCACAATTCTTTCCATTTATGCCTAATTGAGCTGCAAAAAACCTTCAAGCAACTCTTATAGCAAGCGCTTTTCAGCTGCACGTGCGTGGCCTTCGAGCCCTTCCATGCGAGCCAACAAAGCAGAATCTAGCACAAGCTTCTGTGATTCTATAGCGTCGTCAATGCGCATCCACGTCCGAATACGAAGAAATGTGTGGACTGATAGTCCACCAGTATATCTGGCTGTACCACCCGTTGGAAGTACATGATTTGGGCCCGCTCCATAGTCACCAAACACTTCTGCTGCACGTCCATTAATGAAAAGTCCACCATAGTTAGAAACTTGATTGGCCACTTCACGGGCGTTGCTTGTGATAACCTCTAGATGCTCGGGAGCTAGTAGATCCGATACAGTCACACATGTTGCCATATCAGCGCACAGTACTGCAAAGCCGTTTTGGACACTAATCGTAGCGATTGGAGCCGACGGTAAAGTCGCTAGTTGAACTTTTAGCTCTTCATTTACCGCATCAATAATTTGCTGACTTGTAGTCACTAAGATGGGTACAGCTGCCGTATCGTGTTCCGCTTGGGCTAATAAATCTGCTGCAATCGTCGCAGCATCAGCACTCTCATCTGCAATCACAAGACACTCCGATGGTCCAGCGAGCATATCGATAGCACATTTTCCAAACACAAGCGATTTGGCTGCTGTCACCCACTTGTTACCAGGTCCTACAATAATATCACAAGCTGGAATACCACCAACACCATAGGCCATGGCAGCTATAGCTTGTGCACCACCAGCAGCCAAGAAATAATCAGCTCCTGCCAAATAGGCAGCGGCTAACGTAGCACGCGCTGGACGAGGTGAGGCTACCACGACTGTCGTCACACCTGCCACTTTAGCTGTCACAGCAGTCATTAACACGGAAGATGGTAAAGGATAGCGGCCTCCTGGAGCATAACACCCCGCAGCATTCATAGGTGATACCTGAAAGATAACATCAATTAATTATCACGACTATAAAGTTTTTAAATCGAACAAAATACTTACATCTTGACCAGCAAAACCACCTTCAATGCGCTGCTGAAAGTTTGAGATCGAATGGCGTTGCGCTTGTGCAAAGACTTTAATGCGCTGTGCCGTGCGCTGAAGAACAAGTTGTTCGTTCTCAGGAAGTGCTGCAAACGCCTTGGCAAGCTCAGATTGGCTCACAAGGAGTGGCGTGTCAACGGACGGAATGTCACCAAGTCGTACAGCATGCTGCTTAAGTGCCTTCTCGCCATTAACACGTACATCATTGACGATGATTGTCGCATCTTTAAGTGCAGAAGCGTCTACAGGATCGTACGCAAAGCTTGCCACGTCAACTGGCTCAATTTGCTTGAGAAGAGATGCCATGAGCTGATGGTGGCGGTTGTAAATTGTGATAGAGGAGTTTGTTAGTGTTCAAAACACCAGACTATGCAGAGTGGTGATATTTCAAAATACTTTCTCCAAAAACTGGCGGGAAGAGAAATATTCTAGACAAGTAAGTGATAAATCACATTCTAGAGCTTTTTTTAATTTAAATACAAAAATTAAAGACTTCAAATATGGAAAGGTTACCTATGGTACTGCGGATTAAGACAGTGTCGAAAAGCCAATTCTAGAAGTAGTTGAAGACAGTGTGTTGCCTTTTTGAATTTTATGAGCTAAAAGGAATCGTCAAACAAGACTGACTTCCGACTGAGGCTATGCATGATGATAGTCTCAGCGAGGTTCAAAGCAGGGCGTCGTCGTCGAGGCGGGCTCTGTTGCTCCTGCTGATATCAGCCATGCTCATACCCATGACTCTGCTCATATACTTTCTGGCCAAATCCTACATTTGATATACTGAGTATAAAACTTCCTTATTTGCCTTCTCCCACGCTAGCGCGCAAGAAAAGGCCACCCGTACGACTACGTACAAGCCCAGTTTGTCTGTCGTCCTCCGCCTCTGTCTTTAACTCGGCCGCTTCGAACTCGTTCGTCGCGCCTATTACTTAGGATTCTTCAAAACCACTCCTCACGACAGCTTTAACTCCGCGGCTACTGCTACCACCGACTTGTGCCTCGTACTCCGGTTGTGGCTTCTTGCTACCACCGCAGTTCTTCACACCACAAGAAACACAGTCCATATCGAGCGTCTGATCTAAGATAATTGGTGGCAGGGTTTCGACTGGAATAAGCTTGATCTTCTTTTATGACACGGTGTGTCGCTGTTCCTCCTACTCTAAGTAGCCTACCGCGCCTTTCTATAGACTAAACATTCGTTTCCCGACTTTTAAGCGAAATGGATTTTCTTGAGAGGACGCAAGAACCACATCTCAAGCATCACGGTGACTCACGATCATGGCATGCTCAAGTCAAGAGCCCGCACTGTATACTTCAATGCAGTCTCGTGCTCACTTGGCTTGTTTGGGCCAGACGGGAAACCCTTGCAAGAAATCTACTTCGACTCGAACGACAAGCCATGCTTCGTTCAACATCGCTTTTACAAGCACAATCGCTTACGCCTGCCGTCGCTTCGCCCACCGGCACACAAGCCATCCGATGTCTCGGACGCCAGTTGGCAACTTAACATGGGTTAAGTGTATCGACGAATATGTGAAAAGATACCCAGAAGAAGAATTCTGTCCGATTCAATTGGTGAGACATTATGTTATGGACGAGAAACTGGCTAAGCTTGTTCTAACAGTGACGCCTGAATACGAGAAGGATGCCAACCAATTTCAAAATATGCTAATGTTAGACTGGTCTGCTGCTGTTCTAACGCGAGTAGATTCTTCACCTAACTCTGTGACACTGGACCTTTCGCCTGTCATTGTTTCACCGGATGTTGCCTTAGGATCGGTCCTTGATTCAATTGTTCCATCGCCATCGGACAAGCCATATAGTAACAAACCAGTTGGTGTCATATCTATACCAGCTCATTGCTGCCTATTTGCATGAAGAGACTCATAGAGTAATCCCTGGTACGGTGCCTGCTCATGCGCATGAATGGAAAATGACGCGGCACTCGTGGTATGGAGTACTCAACCGCAATGGAGCCAAGTTTATCAAACCGGGAACGCCTGTTCCATGCGACCTGGCTATTGACAGTCATGACCTGTCCGCCTTGCGCTACTCATCGCTGGTACGCCCCAACTTTTAGTTTGAGTCGCGGATAGTTACGATACTTCGTTGCCGCTTAACGTATAGGCGAATCGGAGGTATGTGAAGATCTTCACGGATTCACAACGGATACGTCTCTGGTTCCCATGTCTTCAATTTGTTCCCTTAAACAAGCACACCTGATGCCGCTTACAGTTGAACAAGTGACTCCGGCCGAACTTGACAACATAACAGCTGAATTCATCGCGCCGGACGTGCTGAACTTCACATCGCATGAGGATGTGTTGGCAAATATTTTAGCAAAGTCTGCGTACTTTCGTCAGCTGTTCAAGATCTCTCTTCAACGACAGCAGCAAATAGTAACAGATCATGCGATCTATCGCAATATTTGGGCACTACCAGTTTCGAGTGGACAACCGGCAGACTCCTTGTCCCGATTACGCTCTCGTTTTGGTGACAAACTACCTAATTCCGATGCGTTGTTGGAGGCAATTATTCCGGATGAATAGGCACGGTATGCAACTTGTCACTGCGCATTAAATGACTCATTCTTGATGATCTTCGCGCCGCCTATCTATGTCAATCCATTGAAGGTACAAGCGTTGTTTCCGCAACAGCTGGCTCCAAAGAGGATTCGACATGCTCCATTTTTACTATAAAGCGACCTGATTTTGATGAGCATCGCTCATACAGATGTTGCCGAACATCCACATGTTTTTAAAGTACCTTAGCAACTTAGAGTTATCTAATACGGTTGAGACCGCGTTACCATATTTGATACGCCCTTAACTCTAAGAGGCTTGGGCTTTAAGGAATTTTGCTCACCATGATTGGGATGAACAAACCTTCACTCACCATGTATGAGCGACTTCTCTCAACTTATCAGTTGGTTGCTTTATAAGAGACAAAATTCACTAAAGAAGATTCTATACAAACCAGCGAGCACTTTGTTCACGTAGCAGACTTTAGAGCACGATGCTATGGCCTGATTCTACGTCCCCAGCATTAAACGGACAGCATGGAGTGGAACTTGTATTGCCTTCTTCCTCCCCATTTGGCGAGATTATTGATCTCACGTCTAGCGTCTACAGAACAGAATTACTCATGCGTCACTTATTGCTTCGGGCAAACCTTGGAGGCGATTCAGTGTACTTACACTTAGTGTATGCACCTGACGAGCCGATGTTTCGTGGAGATTTATTTCGAGCTCTCCCTCTTCACTTTGAGGCAGCGGGCCGCGAGGTGGATACGGTTGACAATTTTAGACACATTGTTGTTGGTGACTTCAACATTACTATGAATGATTACCTGGATCAGATGGCTGTGTATCGGCCTCATCTGAGACAAAGCCGAGACGTACTCGACGACTGGCTTGAAAATTAGGTTTTGCTGACACCTGGCCTCCATGAACCCAGACTAACGGGACTAAACCAGTCCTTCGCGTCAGAACCCGTTAGATTATTGTTCTGTTACGGCTGACCTACTGCAAGACAGCCTAGTATCAGTTCAACACGTTCATGATCGCAAGTGGCATAACAAAGACCACATACGAATTGAAGTATGCCTCGTCTCTAAGCCTGTCCAACGCAGTGGACGTCAACCCTGGCAATGTCCAACTTGGCTTTTACGAGATATTGAAGTGCAACGGAATCTAGAAACTTCAGTTCAACCATTGGCTAACCGTGTCAAGATCTTCCCGGGGGCAAATCCTAGTTGCCTTCTCGATGAGCGTAAACAGGCTGAGTGCATATACCCTCGCCGACGTTGGAAGAGACTTCGACAAACAGACGAACGAGTAATGGCTGTAAATATAAGCGCGGTGAACGCAGCCGCCGACTTGGTCAAATATCGTACCTACAGAAATGAACAAAAAAATGTTTGAACAAGTCAAGATGGATTACAAGTCCCGTCAAGATGATATAAAGACACGGAATGAGTATAATTAGTTTGTCGCAGACTTACAATCGAGTAAGCGAGCAACAAGCCCCGCAGTCAGATTGCCTTCGTTCCCCTATCACAGAGTTGACAAACGAAAACGGTACTGTTGCTGATGACCAATCAGCAATTGCTGCAGGCCACCGAGGATATTGGAGCAGGATCTTTCGTTCCACGTCCGCTGAGACCGACGGTCTCCAGCTTATCAGCCACTGCGATTTGCTACATTGCTACAACACGCAAGGTTCGATTAACAGCAGGGCAGCAAGCTAAGCTTGACGCCCCAATCACAGCTTACGATATATACTGGGCAATGATGGCTTCGAAATGATTTATTTCCAGGACCAGACAGTTTACCGATTGAATGATACAAGCTTAACACGAGTCTGTGGGCACGAATTTATGAAGTTATATACAGCAATCAGTTGGATAAGGGGAAAATTACCAAGTTGCAAAGACGAGCACACCTGTCTTACTATACAAGTCCGGTGATCGCACTATACCTGGCAGCTATAGACCACTCACTCTTATCAATCACGACGCCAAACTAAGGCCAAATGTCTTACAGTGGCGCTAGAGTAAAGCTTTACAGTCTATCATCCACGAGGACCAAAGTGGCTTCGTTCCAGGGCGGAGGGCGGTCAATCCGTCACTCACTACTTCGCTTTCAAGATCTACAGGACATCTGCAAAACAAAGTACCCAGATGCGTGCGCGGTACTCTTGAATTCCGCCAAGGCATTTCATAGTGTCCTTTAGCCTGCTTTGGATATGGTGCTTCACTACTTTGGATTTGGTGCGACTTCCGTGCATGGGTGAAGACTTTCTACAAAGAAACATCTGTCACTATTCTACTTAATGGCTGCCCTGGTGACCTCTTCTTACTGGGCGCAGGTGTTAGAGAAGAAGACCCTTTATCACCGGGTCTCTTTGTTGTCTTAAAGAGCCAATAATGAACTTTCTTCGCGCGAAGCTACCTTCAAAAGGCATACCCGTGAGCGATACAGACATGCCCCATCTGTTTTTAGCGTTCGCTGACGACTGCACCGGAATGTTGTCTAATCTCGACGCCATGATGAGTTTCTTGGTCTCGCTCAAGGCTATGCGGATACTGCAGGTCTACGGCGTAATGTTACAAAAATAAACAATATGCCGTTTATGCACCATGCATCCAATCAGAAGCTCGCAGACCTACGAAGGCGAGTGAAGTCAAATTGTTGTCACCGTGGGAAAGAGTACGGCTTCTTGGTGTAATACAAGAAGCCACTGTTACACCGAAACAACGATACAACGTGGTAATAATGAAAATACATGCAAGGCGTGCTCTTTGTGAAAACCGTGCAAAAACACTACGAGGAAAGGCTGTCATACTGCAAAGTAACATCTTACCCGTACTGTGGGAATCAGCGAGTGTTACTATGACACCTTTACCTATTCTGAAGCAAATTGACATTATAATACGCATTTTTGTCAACGCAAATGACACATGTATATACACAAGTGTTAAAGAGGGTGGTCTTGGGCCAATGGCACCGAAAGCCTTCATTGACGCCATGCACTTTAAATGTATACGCGACGGTATTGCAGCTACAGCTGCTACTTCGAACAAGCCTCGCTAGATGTCACCAGCATTGGCTCTCTTCTCTATGGCCTTACAGCCATTAGGAAAATATTTCGACATATTATAAAGCATTATGAAGATTGGGTTATTGGAATTCCATGTCTGATTACAGGAGAAGCACACCGAAGCTTTGAGCTGCTTTACATAGCTCACGCGGCACAACCATTTGGAAGTTGTTCGCACAAACAATTCCGTTTCGGGACAACCTTCACTTCACATTTGGGAAGTTGAAGGCACCCTTGCGTAATGTTAGCCCGGAGACGGTTAATTAGCTTATATATTAGGACTTAACCGACTCCAAGACTTTGTGAGCTTTAATGGTAAATTCGCTACAACGGATATACTACGACTACAATTTAATGCGGATGACTTCGCAAGGCCAGGATCACTGACTCGCTTTGTGAACGACACGATACGAAGACTCAACTTAATTATCCCAGGAAACTTTGCATACTACGGACCTTCACGGCCATACAAGATTGAAGCCGCTTGTCATGCATGGAGTCTTGATAGACAACTTGTTGTTGATATGGAAAACCGTGACTCTGTTAAGTTACTGTTGCTAACACATAAATACAAAGTACCCCAGACCTACCGTTGCGACAACTTAACTTGATGCCCGGCTTTACGCCTAACCCAAGTATGTGGACTGCGGAGTATACATGGGATCGATACGTTCTTCCGGTTTGTTCGGATGTTAAGTTTCGATTACAACATAGTGCACCGGGAGTTCGATACAAGTTTAAATGAAGAACGGAAGTCGACATGCCAACCACTTGTATACGTGGATGTATAGAAGTCGAAGACGCCAAACACTTGTTTTGGGATTGTCATGTGGCTCGTTATCAGTGGAATTATCACCTTAAGCCTTTCAAAAAGCTCATTGAAGGAAATCTCGATTGGACTTTGGCGATTTTGCTTATCAACTTACGCCTACTGCAACTAAGGTCTACGAGGTTTTTGCTATACAAATAGTACTTAACATTAGTAGATGTCGTGCTCTACGTGCCCTATGGCTATATCGCAACAAGAAGCTGTACATCACTAAAGTGACAACTTCGGCGGGTTTTATGTGTAATATAACATTAAGTTGCACCTTCGCAAGCTAGCAGAAGTTGCTTAAAGGACAGAAAAACATCGACTAACAGCTCTGGTCAACACAATATCAAGCGCTTTCCGACTCTATACAACGGGTACATCGGATATGGAAGTGGACTTGGTTGTTTAGAATGCTCCAATTCACTACAATCATTAACTATGTCCATGACTATATCTACAACTACGGTTATATCTACAACTACGACTATCTTCGCTACATCTACGACGACAATAACAACTTCATGCAGCTAATATTTCAAGACCTTTCGGTTAATGTATGGTATCGCGAAGTCAAATTGACTTAAGCACGCTTTTGTACTTTATTGTATTATTTTTGGAGAAAATTAGCGTGGAACGCCAATTTAATTTTTCGACCTCGACTTAGATCCAGAACGAGATGGTGGGACTACCTTAAGTCTTTCGTTTTTTGTAATGGGAAAGTACAGAAGATTACCATCGCAATATGGATCTCAAGCAGTTCGTGGACCACAATCCAGACCAAGCACTTAACACCGATGCACTTAATTGCGCGCACACCGACATCAAAGTTCCAATCTGTAGCTTATCCACTCATAGGACCCTATTCAGCGCCCAATGTTGAGTCCGCTTACAGAAGTCAAACTCGCGAAGTAGAGCTTCGAGCTGGATAGCGATGTTTCTTTGCCCTACATAACTGAGTCGATCGCAGATCTTAGCTTCTCGAATGCTGACTGAAATTGTCCTGGTCTCCAAAGGTATTTGATCGCAAAGTCAATTCCTATTCTAACACAAAAACTATCGTTAGATGAATGTTAGTACCAATGTATGTGGATTTGCTCGCTGTGTAATTTCAAGGAATCACGTCCAGTTGTGCATCAATAGATCCTGTGGCAATCCTTGATTCTCCATATAAGTCTTGATTAAATCGTGACTGTAAAGGCTCAACAACTTTGCTTGGATGTTCTAAGAGTCCCGATTTAAATTTTATGAGCCCAAGACCAGATAGAGCTGAACGTCCAATGTTTGTATTTTTGCAAACCTCGTTGATATCGTGAACACACCAGTTCTGTTAACCAAGCTGTCCCCGACTTATCATGACTTCAGAAGGCACACTGGCAATGTTACTAACATGGCTGGATGAATAAATGAGAATGATACGGACGTATTCTGTGGCAGTTTTTTAATTCTCATGAGAATCGTTGGCTTCAGCGACATAAATTTATGCCACCTATGCATACACACTCATTAACCTCCTGATGTTTCGTTAAGAAAGGAACACAATTTGCCTAGCTCGCCATTCTATGCGCTTAACATAATCCAACGAGAGAAGGGGATCGTTTCATCATCAATTAGTATGTTGCACTATTTTCGAAAATTTCTAGGTTTTAGTTTGTTTTCTTCATATCTTGCTTTAACACTATCCGAGTTGTAGTGCTCCAAAGCTATACCACGTGGATTGCCCCAAGAGACACTTCTATGGCCATGTGAGCCGGCGATAGTGTATTTTAGAAATCTCCAGGACATCTTCGATATGCTTGTTAATTAATTACAAAATGAAAATTTACGATCGAAACTGAGTCGGATAAAGGGATGGGCAATAATTCATCAAGGTCGTATGGTATCCATCAGTAGAAGCGTAATCATGATGGGACTTGGCAGGTTGTTAACCTATCTTCAGTCACTATGTCTCTTCGAGAAGTACCCTTTCTTCATGATATAAAGTCACATACATCATTGAGAAGAATGATGGCAAACTCAATGTCTGACAACAAGAATATATGTTTTATTATCTTTATTGGCGTTCGATGTCGCTGGTACTCTCAAAGCTACCTGAGGATTGACGAGATATTCCTATTCATAACTTACGCAATGGAAAGCCATGTGCATCTGAATGATATTAAGACGATTGTTGTTTAACAGCTCGAAAAGTCGACCGTTAGGCTAATGACAAGCAATTTTCGTTGACTTGTAAGCTATATATGACAGTTTTCATGATGGCAGAATGCATTAACAGTACCAACGATTACGTCCTTATTCTTATTAGTCGACGGATTCTGGAAAATGAAATAAATTTTTCATCTTCCCCTCAGATATCAGGGAGATTCTTCACGACAATGACTTAAAGCGATTTAAACCCAGAAGCAGGTTCCTGCTGGGAATAATTATTGAAAAGAGAACTCAAATATTAAATTGCATTATTTCTCCCATCGAGGTTAATGATGTAACCGATTGCACCAATACATCTGGGCATATCAACCACTATGATGCCAGAGTTCGTACAATGAGATTCCAGAATAATAAATTCCGCGAGGACATCTCGACAGAGCCTAAAATACTATAACCCCTTCCTGATATGATATATGCAATTAAACTTCTTATTAGCTATGGGTCTCGTAAACACTGCCTCGTCTCTTTGTCCAGTCAATTATGTGCAGAGTAACGTCGATGTTTCTCATGATGATGCTGTTGGAAGTAGTCGGGTCATAAGACTTAGACATCCATTACTTGAGCGCCTTAAAACCTATGAGAATCTGGTAATCATTACAAGAGAAATTGAGAGAACCTGGGTATCGTATTCGGCTCCACCTTAGGGAATGACTGGGGCTGGCATAGTTGCCCTAATGCTATCATCTTTTTCCTACATAGTTAACCTTTCATCTTCTAGTGGATCAGTGCTGCACATGGGCTATGGAGGCTCACTTGATATTAATGATGCTCTTATCAAATCAGCAACTGGAGGTAGATGTGTAATGGGATATTCGACGTGTATAATCTCACCACTGACCTGGTCAAAGAATATTTAAATGAGTTTATAACTGCTTCTAGCTGGGTAAGACGATATTTGATCATTTTCTGGTTGTTTGGAATAGTTTCCAACAAAGTAAGAACGGTAAAATCTAAGAATTTAAGTTATCATCAAGCAAAACACGAGCTCCTAGTTTGGACTTTAACAAGGGTTGAAGCTCTACTCGTGGTGTTTAATTATACGTTAATTCTTCATATTCTTACTACTTAAAACTGCATCATACAGCATGAGGGTGAAGACAAGTCAGATATACAGATATGGAGAAACGCTGTCTTTGTCAAATGTAACAGTTGTAACCATGATTTTCATGTGCACAGGATTTCAATAATTATTTTGAAGGACATGAGGTAAAGATGTGGTAGAAATGACAGTTTGAGATGCATGGTCGAATGTGATAAATGTTGTTTTATTAACGAACGAGAGAACGACGATTTCCTGCTGGAAGACAATATTATTTAACATAAGATCAACTGGCAAGATACTCCGAAAGGACTGGGGATGCTGTCTTTTGAAGACTCATATCTCGTAGACAATGGGGTCAGCATTAAATGGGACAAATGACTTCTCTCCTTCAACAACTGCACCAAGGTCATATTCATCGGCTTCTGCTAAGCTACAAGTCCCATTAACTGAATACGCAGTCCTCATGACACCCAACTTGACGAGTGCGTTTCTAACAGCTATTTGAGTTGAAGGTTGCCATTGATCACAATCGCAGTCATTGTGTCCTCCACCTTGAACAGATGTCTGCAATCGCTATGTCACCATCATCACTTAGGTAAGAAATGCAGTTAGCAAGGCCATTTGATACTCCTGGCATGCATTCAGCTTCCCCGAAACGGGTACCTGATCTATTGATATTACCTCGTTTGACACCACTTCCAGTTGGCATATCACTCATACAGTCTTGTTTGTCGACCGCAATATATGACAGCTGCCAGATAAGACAAACTCCGTAGTCAGCGATAATCGAATCATTTTGTCGTCGTGAAGTCTCAAATCTTCCTTTTGGACAAAACAAGGACACCGTCTCTCTCGGAGCATAGATTCATCAAATGAACTTCTCACAAGATACTTATTACATGTACGGGGGTCGTAGTGCAAGTCGCCAACACATTCCATACTTCATAATTCTGTCCTATGGCTCACCGGTGATGTACAGATGAGGATGCAATTAGCATATGCGAAATGAAAGTCTTTTCCAAGATCGTATCACCAAAATCAGCTAGGTCTTAACGGGATGGTGTCATATGCGATGTCGCACCGCTATCGATCAGCCATCCATCAATCCAATTGTCGCCGTCAGCGAATACCGCGTCTTCATCAATGACATCACTTCCGTTTGGGCAGTTTCGTTCCGTAAAAGATTGTATTGTATCACAATTAATATAAAATGTAGTCGTTTTATGCTGAATAGACCCGAGCCGTAGATTGTGAAAAATAATGCATATCACCCTCACTACGGATCTCTGATACAGTGAATTTTTGACCTTGCCAACTTAAATGGGGTGGTGGATAACTCTGACATGCTTGAACAGGTTCATGTCGTTCACTGACTTACTGACGATAACAGAGTCTTCATACCTTGACAAATAACAAGGAGAGATATCTCGGTTATAGAAATGAAGGGAGTGTCTGTCATCGACTCGATAAGTTTTTGCATCATCTCTGCCCTAACAACAGGCAGGAAGTTGGTTGTCGAAGTCGAAAATAAAGTTAAGAACGTGGTGTGACATACTTGAGATTACGCTGGTGTTGGTGGTTCATGGAATGAAAAGTAACCCAGATGCATGGTTGTCTTAACATTGTCGGGGATGAGATCTCGGAGTGGACGTCGTATTGATCTCAGCTGATTTAACGTAATTTCGTTGTTGTAGCATATTGAAGCGACCCAAAGCCCACAACCGTCTATGTTGACAGGTTTCATAACACAGTTAGAAGCAATATGCATCACATTTAAAAACCTTTCGTGCCGGATACGTATTGTTAGTGAATAATGTGATTGAAAGCGTTGCCATGTCATTATAATTCCTCTGACAGACCTGGTACTAATCGTTACTATCTTTCAGCAAACAAAGAATGACCATTTTTCAGACAATTTATTGACGATTTAGAGTTCATCAAGTAGAGATGAGGCTTGTCGAAGAGTTAGGGAAGTCATGACCCGGTGACGACAACCATGAACCAACGCCCTCATTCTTCCTGCTTCAATGCTTAATGTAGTGTACGCACAGTCGACGAATTCTGGCCAGCTTTCATATGTTCGTGGTACTTGAACGAGTCTAGCTTTTGTGACTCTCTGGCCGGAGATCACAACGACCATGTCAATGAGTGAGTCATCATTGATCATACCAAACACACCAGGTTTTCTGGTGATCTCGTCAACCATTATGACCCAGATTCTTATTGAGTAAGGTTCTCCTTGTATCTCAGCCTTATCAATGTCAGTAAGAACGTGAGTTGGACCATGGAGATACTTGTTTGCAAGAAAAGTAAGCTATCCGATGACTGCTGTAAGTTTAACATTTCAAAAGAACTATGCCCATCTTTCCTCTTCCAGTGTATCAGGAGTTATTCGCGTTCCTCCTACACATGGCACAGCATTATTACTGAACAGTATCAAGCATTATCATTTGATGTCGGGAGAGATGACACTGGTTTATGGACGCAGCAAATATCATTTCTGTACATCTAAACCGTCACTATGGTTTTTTCTTCAATCGGTAACCCACGTTGGTCGTCGACACTGACCCAGGATATGTCTAGTAAACGATAGCGCATTGCTATACACCCTCGTCAACAGTATGACGGGGAGTTAGACCGCGACGTCACTCTCGAGGCTATTCCCGCAGTGGATGCGCTTCTTGAGCTGGATGACATGTCCTTCGAAGAGTTTGGCGGTGCCTTGAAGGCTTCTTTGGCCTGTTATTCGTTCCAATAGTCCTGATACATTCTTCTCATTGCGGATTTATCAGGTAGTTCGGCTCGAACTAGTTCTCAAGACTCTCACATACATGGATACCATATCGTCAGCATCTGCAAGGTCATTATCCATTTCAACCTCAAGTATAATTGATAATGAAGAATCACACTGCTAGTAATCCAAGCAATATCAACTGGCTCAGGCAAGCTGCCATATTCGACTCACCTGATATACTTCGATAAAAGACATTATACTTTCCTCGACTTTAATTTCACGCATGCGGAACAAAGATGTAGCTTTCCCGTCTCAGCGATCTCATAACATTCTAGAAAATGTCAGCAGCCCTTTAAAACATCTATCTATCAGATCGCAAATACCCTCGCATACTCTCCTGAACGTATCACTGCAATATCAGGACGATTGCGACGTTTCGATGCCATACCTTTCATGATAGTTGAGTGACTCTTCCGCGAATTGCCCATAATAAATTTTCGGTTTAAGCATGATAAGCATTACCATGTTCTTGTCTGACGGTAAAGTTGTTTCAGACCTCAAGTGGTATTTGTCAATGAATCCAAGGGGATCGACTTCAGATTGACGGCTCTCTCAATAAAATCTGAATCAGAATCATCACAAACAGTCTTGAGTCCATTATGCTTGGTAAGATTGACGATATTTGATAAAATATACCTTTCGATAGCTGTAACCGCAACTATAGCCAAGTCCAGAGGTTGACACTCCGAAAACACCGTAAATGCTCTTTGGTTTAATCTTGAGTGTCCAACCCTCCAAACTATTTTTGTCCTCTAATGAACGGGGCTCATGGACTAGCAAAAGTTGATAAAGATGACCCTATTGCAGTTGTTTGAAGGAAAAAAGTCATTTGTCTATTTATCGCTGAATCCTTAGTCTACGATGTATGAGTAATCAAGAACAGCATCCCACTAATGGGGTAATTTAAGAACCCAAGCCAGTCTTCTCGAAGTATCTTGACAACTGATCTGATGTTGAATCATGTTCGTCTTCCAGCACGACTTATGTAACCACATAAACCATACATCTCGATCTGGAAATTGTTCATTTTATCGAATAAAAAACAAGTAATTTAAATACTGAACAGCTTGTCCTATTTCTTGACCAATTAAAAAGGATATAAATAACAATTTATGAAGCACAACATGGACTCTGGCAATGGCGCAAGACATCACAGCAAGCGGTAACTTGACTCTATTACTCCATTAGTCTGTTCAATATCTTAATTTCTTTAATTTACTGTCAGTAAGCGTGTAAATGAGGCTCCATGTCAACGCCAAGTAGCCCAAAAGCTTCTCCATTGCGCGGACGTGAGTGACTCATTAAACTCCCTCCGACACTCTTTAGCTATACAATATCAACGCTACTTAACCCAAAAAGCTCGAAGGAATGAAATGAGTTCCTTATGTATTGCATTAGAGCAATTTACCCAATTTCAGACCTATTTTCATGCCGAGATGGATAATGAAGATTTCTCACTGGTGAGAGATGTAGATAAACGGACAAACAAGCTACTTACAGCAATTACAAAGCCTAAGATGTCAATTGCTGTACGTACGGAAAACATTGTCCGCACGTTGCCTGATCAATTAAAAGCGGCGTCAAAAATGGCGTTCGAGCGTCGACAATTAATTAAGGAGCAACAACAACTTCCGTCGAAACATCAGTGGATTCCATTAATATTGTGGAGAATCTACAATAATGTAGTTGAAGATGCTAACAACGATAAAGGATTGAAACCTTTGAAGATGACGATGCATTATGTCATGAAAACGCTTAAGGAGACGAATCCATATTATTATATGCAAGTGGTGTACCAAACTCCACCAAAGCATTTACGTAAACAGTGGAAAATTCGTGGGTCAGCAAAATTAAAGACGATTGTAGCAAGTATTACACCATATTTTGTGGCTTTATCTCGAAAATCCTCGGCCTTGAATCACAAAGACGTAAGTAAAAGGATAAACGATGGATGGTATGAACTACGCGTTACAATGGTGTTATTGAAACGAGCTGCACGACATTTTCATGAAATCATTTTGTATTTGTATGCCCTTGCAATGGGTCGTGACGTGTCGAAAGTACATGCTGGAATCATTACAGAAAAAGCAGCAAAAGAAATGGATAGCAATGATAGCGGATTGCGAGCTCAATTAAAATTAGATGGCGACACTGCTTTCTCAGAAGATTCGTTAATGAAGGAGAGTTATGAGTGGACGCCTGAACTTTTGGTCTATCTTGATGAATGGAAATATCATCGGAAAAGTCGACGAGTGCCATTTGGTTTTCATGACGAAGAACGATGGAAAGATTTTTTGCCTTACTTTGCATATAAGAAACAATTTCGACGACGTAAGACACAAGTATATGTACCACGCTTTGATGTACTCGCGGAATTCGGGTACAAGCTTCGTAATTTATTGCGTTTGTGGCAAAATACGCAGCTTAGTTTGCCTAGTTTTAAATCGATGAGTATTGAAGATATTGGGTTTCTCGAGCAAGAAATTAAAGGTTCGTTTGGAGGAACAATCAACTTGATGTATAAAATAATGTTGGCTCGCTGGATGGCTCGAAAGCGTTCAACTCAGTGGTGGGCGTCGCTGAATTTCCGTAAAGGATTGAATCTTCAATTTGAATCGAATAAAAATGATTCTTTCGGTTTTTGTCTCGAGGGCGTTACTCCAGGCTCTGAAGCAAAAGCATCGACCAACGTAAAGTCAAATGACGACGTGGAAGAGATTACCAACGCAAAAAAATGTGATGATGACGTCAAGAGCGAACGAATAAAAGAGCGTTCAGCTGCTGGCTTTCGATCTCCAACTAGGACAAAGCTTCGAGCTAGTTGTCGAAAGACTTCGTCATTAGACGACACCAGTAGTAGCTTCTTATCTACTAAAGAATCTCTTGAAGATAAGGATTTATGCAATTGGTCAGACGATAAAAAACTTGCAGCGATGATGAGACTGCGTGATCGGCTGACATGGTCAAGTATCTCTAGTGAGAGCTGTTTTGATTCTAAACTCAGATGTGATGTTGGAAATGATTGGCAAGTGACTCATATAGCGAATCGAGCATGCAGAATTGTTGATCAGGTGATGAGACTTGCGGAAACAAGGAAATCTTCGTCGGTGCTTCAAAAGGAGAATAATTCGGTGTCAGATTTGGACACTAGTAATCACATTGCGTCGTGTTCGGATTCACAGGACCAAACACTTAAAGAACTTCACGAAAGTGTTCAAAGTGCTTATCGCAACGTAAGCGAAATGGTGAATTCGTACGACGGTCAACACTCATCTCAGTGGCGTGATGCGATTCTGTATACAGCTCAAGCAACTTTGAAGCTCTTGCGTCTAATTGCACAAGATGACGACATGATATTGTCTAGGACATCGGATCAGTAGTGGGTGAGCAATAAATTGACGATCTCAATATATTGTCGGGTTATCAGACATGTAACCATTGTTTTACGATTTATTTTACCATTAAAACGAACTTTAAGAATGTACTTTATAAACCTAACGAGTTAAGCAGCTAAGATTAAAGTCAAATTTCCAATTAAACTATACGTAAAAAGCACCCATTTATTAATCTCAAAAGAATCTCTATAATCTATAACCTCAAATTAATTAATAGCTCAAAATTAACGACTATTTCATCATAGCAAGACCGCAACATTCAATCGCCATAGTTCCGACCATGAAATGTTTCTGGAAATACAAGTCTTGCTGTATCCTTAACTGTATTCCCATCCACTTCATACGCGTAAATATTCGTAAGACGTGTGCGAACAATTTTCATCATGATAATTCCAAGTAACTGCTTCGAGCGCACCAGTAATTTGTTGTTGACAATCACGTAACCTGAGCAGTAAACACCGTCTGCTGATGCAAACTTCATTCCTTTGAAATAAACGTAATTATTGTAATCTGAAATAATCCCAAAGCGTGTCTGAAGTTCTGCACCAGTTGATATCTCAAAATTTGTCAAATGTCCTTTCACTGCAGCTTTCGACTTATCATTTCCAGACATTGCGACGCTTTGACCCGATTTCACAATAACACGCTCTGGAAAAACCTTTCGATAAAGTTTACGCAATGCTGCATAGCAGGCAAACAAGACCAAAAGACCAACTTTTGGTGAAAAGGAGGCAGCAAGGAATTTGATATCTACTTGTGGAATTTGTATCGTGCACCAAAAAGACAATGGAGACATTGCAGCCACAGCAGCTGTCTTTGGTACATCACCAAGTTGATTCATCCAGCTAGAGTACGAAACTACTTCACTGAGCACAGCTGGAAACGTTGCAATGATTCGTAAACGATTATCGTGCACAAGTTCAAACAAAAAAATTGCAACGGCAGGATCAATCCGTTCGCGCGCCAACCAACTCAAAAAAGCCACAAAACCAAGAAAGACGACGAGAACGTCGCAGTGTACAAGCTCTTCGTGTACGTGTATGGGTTCAGTGCGCGATAGTGTTGCAGCATTCATCAATGCGTACTCACGTAGTGTCCAGAATGCATTGATGTACCATGAAATAACGACTAGAAATCCTCGAGAGACAAATGCTAGAGTCGAGACGGACGAAAAGGGATCACCAATCCAGATTTTGCCAACTTTGATCTTTTGGTACGACACAATGGCCACGATAACTAACGAAAGCAACGTTTGAGTACCAAAGAAAAAGTGGATACCGTGGACCCAAGCCCATGCATCATCGATTTGAGACTCTCCGTAGTACTCCCACGTCGTGAGTGCAGCTTTTCCGTTCGACAGATCCAGCTTTGAGTACACCGAATGAAGGTTTGACTGTACGTCATGGTTGTAGAATCCACGTTTTCGCGACGTGATCAAGTGTCGAATGGGATCAGTAGTCGGGTCCCGAGGAACACTACGCAATTCTGTATGACTGTCGTGTGTAATTCGAATAAAGTCGTAAACTTCGAGCTTGAGAGCGCGTTGATATGGATACGTTAGCGCCATCATGAAAAGTGTCTTGGTAATCGCTTGCTGCATGTCTTGAATAATCGAAACCTGCAAAGCTAGTGCTGGTCCAAATTTCTTGTGTGACTGCATGGCGTAGTCTTGCATTGAAAGCAACATGTCGACTAGAAAAATGTCTGTCGGATCCTTGCGAGATCGTACTAAATTAAAGAGACGTACATTTGCAAGATCATCTCTCGTCAGTGGGGTTGAGGTACAGTCGACAACTACGACGACAAGCTCAAGATCTGTCAAGACTGTCGTATTATAGCTTGAATCATTCGTAATTTCTTCATACGTACGCGTGAGAAAGTCATAATTGTAAATGTTCGGGTTAAAACGCGGTACTTCTGTGCACTTCGAAGTTGATACTTGTGTATCCGATTCAAGAAACAGAATGTGGTCTCGTGGCCTCGTGTCTCCACCCAGAATATCCTGCACCAACTTGCTATCTCGAATCAAATGATCCCCTAAGTATCCTGCAATGAGCGACGTCTTTAAAACACCAAAAGATTGTTTTGGTGCAGGAACGGAAAGAAGAACCTCGAGTGTTCCTCGAGTAGCAAGCATAGAGAGAGAGAGGTACTGAAATGCAGCAGCAACCACTGCAAGCCGACGTACAAGATTAAACACCTGCCATTTTGTAAGCTTCTGCTTTGATCGTGCTCGACCAGTGCCATATCCTCTCCACGTTGCACCCTTTTGAGTCGGGCTTACTCGCACAACGTAGCGACTCTTACGATCAAACATGGAGGTGAACCTTGATAAAGCATTCACACTCTGTGTGTTTCCTTGACTCTTTGGTTGAAATGTTCCCAAAAAGCCCGTCTCTTGTTGGCCTGGCTGCATTGTAAAAAAACTTTATCGAGCTTTCACGCGGACTTTTTTTAGCGAGAGTTGTGCTTTGACTTGTGTACGACGGAATGCACTGTGTTATCTTTTGTAAGCTCAAAGTATGTTAATGAGCTAAAACATAAAGACTGTTGGACATCATGTTTGCTAAGCGTTCAAAGCCCAGATGTTTACTTTTTAACAAGAAAACGAGGCGAGTAAAGCTATTGTTGGTAAAAGCGCAACCGAATAATCTGAGCGCCTATTGTAAGCAGGCAACGGATACGTTTCGAAGAAGGTCGAAGCTGAAAGATTACTCCATTTTTACTTTTCCCAAGATTCTTATTGATAACTAAATTCGGATTTCAAAGTTCTGGGTCAAATTAGTGAATTCTTTCGTGTTTCAACCGCAGCATTTCTTAAAGCAGCACCATAACGTTCAAATGCCATACATCTGGCCATGCTAGAATTTTCGAGTCACGAGTCGCTGTTTTCTTCATAAACGCAAATATTTTTACAGCAAAGGCGAAAGGTTATTAGCATCTCAACAGACACGATAATATACACGCACCATCTATAGACGTCAACTTTATGCCCTTGAAACTATAGTTCAAAATGTTAAAAGTTGACGAGATCCTTTTCAACGTTAAGGTATCTTTTTCATTTCTTGCCGATCTATCTATGCCAATTGAACGTCGTCAAGTCTTGTCCGGAAATTCTTCATACGGGAAAACCAAACTTTGCAGCCATTGATAGTGGACACAAATAAGGATGTCTCGTCTTTTGGAAAGCAGTCCACAATCGATCATTTGCAGTAGCTGGTGTGGTCTGGGTACATCCGTGGAGAAGACCTATGACTTTGTAAGGCGACTCTTGTTTTTTGAAACGATGATTTCAAACATGATACATAGCCATGAAAGGTTTAGAAATTATACCAGCCCTGGCAACTCTACGATAAAGAAATGACTTCAGTATCATGAGAATACGAAGAACTTCATGTTCGGCAAAAGGTGTCGTGAAAGCGAACGAAATGGGTCTCCGAGCCAAAGATAATAAGTAGGAAATGTTTTTTTTTGAACAGATAAAGCGAAGACATGCACACGGGCCCAAAAATCAGACATGACGGTTTTGCCCGTTAAAGCAATCGTTGCATTCGTATGTACGATGTACACATGTAGCCTGCTTTTGACTACCACGTGCGTACGTGCTATACTAGCTGGTAGCAGTCTATATGAATGCTACGTAGCTAAAGGTGGGTATCAACGCATATTCCTATGAACTGGTATATCTCAAGATCCATCATTCGTTCGTACACATACGTCAGTGATGCGAGGTACAATTATCCACAGATAGTTTTGGTAGACTCCGCTCGTGTTCGTTGTGAGAATATCTTTCTGCACATTATGGACCAGTGTTATCAAATATACATTGTCAAAATCGTAGCATGAACGCGCTAAGAGAGTAATCACATTATTGCACTAACCTCGCGTTCAAAAGCTTTTCAAATGTTGAAGATAATCACGAGCTCATCTCGTTGAAGCGACGTCCTGCTTGATTTAATTTGTCATTTGCTATATGTGTGACTTCAGCGATTGCCTCTGTTTATCTAATTCTTTATTTCTAGAAAGCAGCATACTCTCGTGAGTATGTGTTGCTTTACAGCATTTGAGCTTAGATGCTTTTGCAAAGTAGACGATCGCATATACAGCCAGTGATCAGAGAAACTGTGAACACTCGAAACGAATATGGACACTCTGTAACGATTGAAAAATTCAACCAGAGGGTGACAATATTGTATCAGATAGACGCGGTATAAACAACGAGCCGACAAAGAGAGTTGACATTGTATCTCCTCGAGAACCTACTTTTGAGCTCACGAAATAGTTTGAGTTCTCTTATTACTAAATTATCGACCACCTCAAGGGTGAGCCCACAGAATACGGCTGTTTCAGCCTTTGCATCGCTACAAAATGGTTATACCACCTGTCATCTTGGCAACCGACGCTGCTCTTGACATGCTGTATAAGGTGCCAGCTTAAAACGGCAAACACGAAAGGACACATCTTTCGACGACTTAACATAAACCGCTGCAATGCGAGATTGACAAGTGCTGTATTTTTCGCTGCTATTTTAAGGCCTGAACTGTAAGGTTAAGTTACAAACATACTTAACAGTTAATTCAATACAAACTCACTTTCAGTTTCTTTGGTCGCGTTTGATAGCATGTGAATTTCTTGTTTGAACGATGATCCGCAGTTTTGAGAATACACGTAGAATTGAAGTACAGGAATATTATGAAGATGCAAGTATTTTGACGATCAATGAATATTTTGTGGGTTTTTTGATACAGGACAATCTAATGTTCTTATGTATTATTTTTGATAATGTTGCTAGTCATAAGACGTCACTTTGCGCCATCGCTAAAAGATAAATTGTCTTCTGCCGTATGGTATTGTGTGATCGACAGAAATTGGTAGCACTTGAAGTCAGACATTAAATCTCACTTAGAACAATGCTACAAAGTTGCCGCGCACCTCGCAGAAAATACCCTCAACTCAGCTTACTATGTGGAGTGCGTATTCACCGAGAATGGCGTGACCCCTGTGGGCGACATCCAGCAACTTATTTATGGTGAGGCAACCTAGATTTCTCCGATGAGTTCGCTTACAATGACCCTCTGATTCCCGAAAGCATCCGCGCCCTCACTGAATACTTTACGGCCAAGCCGAATTCCGTCTACGAATTTTATTTGAAGAATGAGGCACTCTCTCTGCTCCGCCTCACCGATGCAAGAACTGCACAATCTCCGCTCTATTGCTACGGTGGCAAGTTTTACGATAACCCAGGGCAAAATTTAAGACAATGTCGAACTCGTTATAGCCTGGTTCAGCGATCAGACTTTGCCGCAAAAGCTGTAGCGACCTATGCAAAGTCGCTTTAGATTGGATGAAGTCAGTTTATTATAAGCCACTCGCTGTCGACACGGGTCTTCTTCTCGTCTAAAGAGGAAAACGCGCCCCAAGTCGCTCTGAAAATGCTTTTTGACTCCTTCTGTAAGGGTGTCACGTATGATTGGATCAGTAGGATACGGACTCATGATGCTTTCTTCCTGAGGCCACCTCTTCTGTCACGCCCTACATCATTTGACATCTTATACGCTAATATTGGTAAAAGGACTTGCCATGTCGGCATAATTTGCAATACTATAGTGCAGACAACTGACCACGCCAAGCCAGGCCCTTTGTATTAGGAGTAATGGCCAGTCAAAAATGATCGCGCATAAGTTACTTACAAACCATGTTTCTCGATGCAGATCCCCAAGGTGCCTTTGGCGCCAGCAAGAACACCTGTATCTATGTTGACAAACAGCTTGTTTGGACACATTAGCAAACATAGCATTCAAGGTTTTGATATAGATGCTAAATTCGGCCACTTTTCTTTGTACAACTAGATGAAAATATATATTCAAAGTCAGTATGTGCGTTTGAATGATGCAACCTGAACTGCTGCGCGCCGAGGCGGTTGAGCGTCGCAGATGCACAACAAATCACTCGCAGAGCATCCCACTATGAGTACTCTTTGTAGAGATTAGCAGTCGGTGATAAACATCATCTAGGATAAGAGCACCAAACAAGGCGCAATTAATCACGTTGCGTCCATTTGAAAAGCCGGCACTTTCCGCCGGAGCCGCGTTTGCATTAAGCTCATCGCAAGCATGCACATCTAGCTTCTTGACGTTAGCCTTTCTGATGCAAAAGTCGGGTGCTTTCTTTCGAGATTTCACTTCGTACTTTGTAAATTGATAGCCTATATGCTATTCCATCGGTCCCTTGATGAGAGAATTTGACATATGACGTGTTATTTAGTTCCAAAGACGAACTAGGGCAAATCCATGACGCAGTTTTCGATTCGTGCATAGTGCACGTAGTGGGTATCTTACCATCACGTTGTAATCCTTTAATCAACAAAGGATTAGAGGCTCAACAGGTCCAGATGTAGCTGCTTTACTCACCGTATACATTGCCTTGCGAGGATCATCAGAAGCATACTCCTCCATTATAGATGACATCGGCAGATTATCTGTATTAATCTTACTAACTCGGCGATTTTACTTCGCGTAATTGTTCACCAACATCCCATAGTTGTCCATCAGGGCCATCTTATTGATACCTGTATATGTGTGACAATGTACCCAGATTGCTACCTTCTCGTGCGATTGAGAAGTATGATGGCTAGATTTACGCTATGTTGACCGACAATCCCTTAGCGGGAAAACATCGTCTTCCAGAAGGTGACAGCGGTTTGTTGAAAACTGAGCCCATGGCGGTCGAGGATGATGAGATCTAGCTAACATCAGGAATACTTTCTTTGAGAGAAATATCGCTCGCCGTCAAGGTTTGCTAATTGTAGCCATCATCGCTCCGAGTTTTGTGAAACCATTACGCCTCAGAAATGCCGTGAACTATTCGCAACGCGCGATTGTCGAAATTAGTTGAAATTCCCAAAAAAGATTTAAAGTGCCAAGGACATACACCATATCCGTGCGATTTACTCGGGTACTCATTCATTTGTCGCTGCCGATTTTATTTAAAGGTTTATAACTTTGACAGCGTAAAACGCAGTCAGCTCATGACCGGTGGTCCAGGTACAATCACATCTGTGCGTGGCGCGGCAAATTTTATGGGCCCTGAGCGACTTGGTGCCGCTAACTTCACTACCATAGAAGCTTAAGTGCGCCATTGTTTCTCCGGACTAGAGTAAAGAAATGCATTAGGCGCGCACGCAAAGTTGCGACAGATTCTGGAATAAACTATACTATTGTCCAAAAGCATTTGTAGCGATATCGCTAACAGCTTTGAGCGGAACTCGGAAGGTAGATGCAGCTGCGTCCCACGTTCTCTCGGTAGACCAGGAATAAGTACCGCTGTCTTAGTCTTCAGCGTAAGAAACGTGACGCGTGTTTCCTAGAAACCTTTTCTGGAGAGACAGGAGGTGTTGCGGTATGTAGGGTATCATCTTGTAGAGATGAATCAGAGAGGCTAAGTGCCGACTAACCGACTGGACAGGCACTGCACGTCGCGATCTTCGGAGTTTTACCCAGTGGATTCGTCTCCACTGGGTGAAACTCCATACCCCAATGCTGCTCATAGAAGTCATACTTACCGAAAACGTAAAATCCAGTTCTGTCCACAACATCTAGTGACGTGGCTACCATGCGGAGCATAGAATCTTCACGGATTGGCGAGCAAAATTTAGTTTCTTTGAAAGGAGTGGTCTAGGTTAATATGGTAGTTTCTCTTTACTACCCCTAGCTTAAAGCTCTCGTACAGCGTTAAGTATTATCACTAGAAGTTGTATACCAGGAAGTGCGAGGATATGCTATCCTGGAGCGGTACGGTCAATATCGGTTTATCATGAAGATAGTGCGAAGTTATATTGTACAGAGCACAAATCGGCTAGGTGAGAGATAATCAAAAAATTCAACCAAACGCCAGCTGTTATGTCTCGGATTGTGGTGAAGGTGGCAAATTGTGCATGCTTGTGATAAACTAATTCTAGCCACCATTTCACCAAAAACGCTAATCTTGAAGAAGGGTGTGTTGCAAAGCAGGATGTGTACAGTGCTCTAGACCTGGTCGACAAAATAATTAGCTGCTCATGAGAGTCAAAAATGTCCATCTCACTGCGTTGAGGTTTGCTTTGTGAGTGGTTTATTTTGTTCCAGGATATCAATCGCACTAGCAATGCTTAATTGTGACCGTTAAAGCTGCGTTGTACACACAGACCTTTGTTAGTAATATACGCACGCATAGTCATGCACAGCCCGTGTAGTCGAATGTGAACATACTTGCGACCTGGGTCGAGTGTATATGAATAAAAAAGCCATTTTTAAAACACCTTTTGCGCTGATAGTTTTACCCGGGATGCTTTGTCAGACATTTGCAGGAAGATCAGTGCTGTTGTGTTTTTTTTCTGGTGCCGCTGCTATTATCGGATGTCGACTGGCTTAACTGACTGTTAAAGCGCAATTTACGTCGACATAGCACAGCTCCTCACCATTCGTCTTCAAAGAGACATCAGGCGGTGTTTTGTTTTGTAGTTCTTAAGGCTGCGATGTTGTCCCTATTCTGGTCCTTCTGAGTTCGAATCGGCAGTTTTACGTCGTCTGTGACGTAGGCTACGCTTTACTTCGCGCGAATATAAAATGCATTTGTAGTTTCGAGCGGCAGTGAAGAACTACTCGAAGCATGGCAGTGAGCAACGTGCGATGAGAAGTTACCTGGTCAAGTTCGATTGTACAGATCCACGAGTGTGTATATAAGAGCAATCATCTTCGCATCGATCGCCAATTAAGATTATTGGAGAGCAGCGCCCTCGCAATCTTTAATGCTTAAATTCTTCCACTGAGTTCGCACTCTGCCATGATCAGTGTGATGACCAACTGCATTCGAAAAGAATTGTGGGTTGGTAGGTTCACTAGGGGCATAGACATTATCAAGTAAAATGGGCGAATTAGCCTCACACATAACTGTAATTTGAGGTCCTATTACAGAAACTCCTGGAATCGCTTGTGCTTACGAATTGACATACTCTCTATTCTTACCTCCTCCGGGCTAGTCAGGGAATTGTGCAGCGCAGATAGCGCATAGCTAGCGACTAGCCTCCGGCCTTTCAGCAATTTTGAGACTTAGCCGATAGCTATACGAGTAGGCTGTTTAAAACAGGAAGAGGCAAAACATATTTGACAGATCCAAATGGGGACCGCGAGTATGGTGGACACCAGTAAACCAAGTATACGGCAGAACAGCCAAGAAGCTTAATCTACATAATTAGAGCTGCTGTCTCAGCTTCTATATCGCAATAGTCTTGGGCAAAATTGCAGCTGGAATGTCGTGAATATTGCACTCATGAGGCTTTGACTCTCCAACTCCACGTTCTGTAGCGAATACAAAAAGTAGAAATAGGTCGTACGACTCTCAAGCACCCAGTAATTAACATTCGTCAGCTGCAAGTGTGTTTTGAACTGATGAGATAACCCTATCGAGTCCATCATCATCAGGGTGCTGAACAATCCAAATGTTGTTTTTCACCTTTGCTGCGTGAGGCACCTGTGTCGTCTGACGAAGTGGAGTATGTTGAGGCATCTCATTACAAATTACACGATAAAATCCAGCCAAGTATTTTTGAGCTGGACTCAGCAGATTAAGCTTTGCTTGTCTTCAAGCGCAAAACTTGCAGATAACCTCAGAGTGATATCCTAGAAAAACATCGCACTGTGCGATCGACTCGTCCGGCTTACACTACGACATTCCACGTCTATATTGTCCCTTTGGCGGAGCGATGCGTGTCGGGTTGAATACCTCATCAATTTATTTTATCTTGACGGCCCTTTGGAGTACAAGAGATAGAATCTGTATCGATGTGTATTCGGCAATGAACTCCGGCTATGCTGAGTACTTCTACCTTCCGGGTGGCGCCGCTGTATAAGCCAAAAAATAATTGACCTGCGGCAGAAACAAATTTCTGTGGTAAGCTTACCCCTTCCTCTCGATTTAGCAGTACGAAGAATTTTACTTCCACGCAGGGTCATTCGACACACCTCTCAGGGGAAACATTGCTTTTATGCAGACACGACAAGGCCTAACGAGAAAAAATCGGTGCGACAGAAGTAGTACACCAAGTCATGGCTGACTGCTCTTTTGTTACTCGCTAAATTTAACCAGACTAAAAGTAAGGCTATTGCTAAGAATGAAGGTGCTCACAGATCAGTGTTGTTGGCTGTCAACATCAATGTTCTGGTTTTTGAGAAGCAATGAAACAAAGTATAATGGATTTAGAGAGTCGTGTCATACCTTACAAAGCGCGACAAAGTTTGCAAAGGCATCGAGCAAGCCAAACAAGAATACAATATTCGTGCGATATGAACGTGTCGAAATTATTTAGCTTTTTTGTAAGGCTCGATAACTATCAAAGCGCAGCACGCTGCCTGAACATAGTATTGAATGTGAAATACAATACATCATATCTTAGCAAACGTTTATAGCACTTGAAGTATTTGACTTAAGGTCAAGACTTAAGGTGTTACGCATTTTTCGAATAGTAAGCTTTGGTAAGTCTTGACTTCCCCTCTGTTGAAACAAAGCAGTAACGTATTACGCGCATGCATGAAGCTCCAATGACCCAGGCTCTAGGCATGGAGCTGCTTAAATTATATCGCGAAAATTATTTTTGGTGTCTTGATGAGGACATTAAGTCGAGGTATCAGGGGCCAAGAGAAGATAGAGATTGCGTATTTCGGTCTTCAGAGTTTATATTTGCTGGGGAAAAGCGATGGTATTTCGCATATCCCTAGTTTATGACTGGCCGAACGTTAAGTAACTTCAATCAGCTAAAGTCTTTTATCTACAATCTGGAAGAGATGGGCAAGAATGACTCTATGTCGCGTTTTCTTGTGTCGCGGCCAGTTGAGACGGGGAACATAAAGTCGCATGTGAAACAAGCAATGGAAAGACGCAAGGGAATCACCGGAACAGTTCGGCGCGAGGAGTGGGACCGCTAGTTTTCATGATTCCACGCCTTTCAACCCTCTGCTGGAAATGGCTCACACCGTGTTGACAAAATTTCTCTATCGCATGTGGCCACAAAACAGGGAGTGAGTCATTAAGCCGACTTGGTTTCGTTACTCCTGTCGCTTTCTTCCGGGGAAGCACGAAAAGCGTAAAATAATAAAAAGGGTAATTTAGTCAACTCGGCGTCGACTTTCGTCACAAATGCTAATGACAAGTAACGAATTGTATTATTTTCAAAAGTTAAAAGTAGCCACAGTTATTGTTCAAGCCAACTACGCTGCAAAACCTCATCATCGATGAATGAGTGCCCTTGACCTGGGTATCAGCTGCTCGTAACAAACATCAGTATTCCACTCAATGCGGTGGGAACTCCGAGTGGGAACTCCGGGTTCGATGCTCCGTGAACGGCTGGTAGTACACAGTAATAATCCAGTGCATTCGCGACGTTTAATCGTCTGGCATTCAGACCGCATTGTGGCTGAACACATCCTCAATTTTGACGATACGTTTGTCCATAGTCCAACGGAGCACAACAAGCCGGACGTGAAGAGTTACATTATCTCAACAGGGCTACAGTTTCTGCGCTAAAATAAAGCTGTTAGACAATTGGCTTCGGTTCCGGTGAGATCCCTGTCCGAATTGCTTTATTACGAAGCATCGCATCTACATTGATCAAGCCTATTGTACATTGGTATGGTCTCAATCCCAATGGTGATCTCACCTGTCCGTATACCAGCACAAGTATAGTGCAAATAATGCCACAACACCATATTAGTAATATTCATGAGGATGCCAATTCGTTTGGGGCGCGTTAAAGAGGCGCGTTTTGCTGCAGTGAAAAAGCCTAATAATTGCTTTGATATCAATTCTGTCAGGTCTGGATTCGTCTTTTGTCTGTGACGCTTCGGTCGTAGTCACGGGCTTAAGCTACTTTAAGCCGGTGCATCTGGGCATAGCCATTTTGATGCATTTAGCTATAAGCGGCATGATTACGACAGCTATATACTTGCATTGACTTATGATCTTGTTTAGTTGAAGACACACCTGCTTGGCTTATTGTCATACGTGATCTCTACAGATCAAGTGTCGTTACGCTCAGCAATACTCTCAACTCATCTCTCACGGAGAATGGCGACATGCTAAACCTCCTATGCCGAGTAATTGACGTAATACTGTATAAGCTGGCCATCTTAACGTAGTAGGTACATACAACGTACCCGTCAGTTTCAGCATGTGTGCATTTCTTAAAAGTGTTTGGAAACAAGTAGTGCGTGATTCACAATTACGCGCAATTGAATTGTTTCGTTGTACGTCGCACTGCTTTTTCCTTCCACACGGGTCGCTGTATTACGGCACTAACCCACTTGACGTTTACCGTATGGTGATACCTAAGAAAGCGGACCTCAGGTACAGAAAACGATACGAGGTACATGATACCCCTTTGGGCGGCCACCCAACATGTATAATTGGGGGAACACCTATTTGCGCACATTTAGAGCGTATCAACAATCTAAGCCCTGCTGCATCTGTCGGCCGGTCTGCCGGTCTCAGAAGACTGTTGACAGTCCATAACTATAAGCTTTATTTTTTGTGTCCCAAAGACGCGTCTGGTAATACCCTTGTTGGCCGCGTATAAAATTGCATATTCTGCGCTGTCAGCGACACCAGGACCAATGAGGATAACCTCAAGCTGTTAAATATCAGAATATTTTGTCAGCTTTGCTAACCGGTGGCCATGTGGTCGTTTAGGTTTGCGATACACACCGAAGGTCGGCAAACTTTGTTCAAAGTGCTAGGCAGCAGATTAACATTCCCACCGCAAACCGTCAACAGACAGATTCTCCAGCGTAACGGGTTTATCTTGTGGTGGTTGTCATCGAGGTACCCAACTGATTTTGCGCTAGAAGTTAGTCGAAATTGTACTTTGAGGATCAAAATCTAGTAAAATAAGAAGCTGTTGACTTATACGTACAATACAAAATGCTTAATGTTCTAGCAAAGGTCTCATAGTATACTCTCAGTGCATTATCATTAAGTAGGTGCAGCAACATGTACCACGGCACTTCTGAACTTTGCACAATAGCATAATGTCTACATTCACCATGGTACGGCATATTAGACCCTTTTCCGATGTGACAGTATACCAACCTGCTATCTTTAATATTATGAAGAATTCAAAAGTAACAAAAAATCTCAATGCAGAAGAGGTGGTCCACGCACCTGTTTTTTGAGATATATTAGAAGTGTTTACGTCCCAAAATCTGGTCCAGAACGGCTCTTTTTTTCCGTACCGCACCCATCATCTTTACAGTACCGTACAGATGATGCGATATCCTCTGTTTTCTAGTCAATCCTCAGCGAAGCAATGCAGTTCACCTAATGGAGATTCAGACGCTGCGCACCTGGTTGCAGTGCGATTACAATTACAAACTGTTCACAGTCTTCGTCAGAACAAATTTTCAATGTATCTCAATTAATTGTCAGGTACTTAAAAGCGTATGCCATGCCCCAAAAGTAGGCGCCTCTACCTATAAATGATCTCTTGATTTGCGTCTTGAAAAAACCACGTCATTTCGAAAATCTTCTCTCATCGCTAACCGTTCCCAATGCGTTCGCTGGTTTGGGCTGTCATTGCTACGCTTATCGTTTTAACGCCATTCTCTGAAGCAACCTCATCCATTGCATCCAACAATGAAGAATTCAAGCAAAACGTACGAGTTGCATCATCCTCTTTGGAACAAAAGGGAACAATTGAAGACAGCGTCATTACAAGGAAGTTGCAAAGTGACAGCGTCAAAAAAGGAGACAGCACTGGTCTCGAAGAGCGGGGCGGGTTACATGTGCCTACAATTCATGACAACAAGATAGTACAAGGTTTTTATAAGGTGATGCGATACCTTCGACAGAAACTGGGTATAGACTTCTTGCTCACTCGGCTTCGCTATGGGAAGAATGGTTCCCATCAACCCAATATGGGATATTCAAGAGTTGACCACTATCACTAGCTTTTAATCAACGCGTAATGCCATAATGTATGAACTCTTTGCTACAATCCAAGTCTACTCTTGTAACATTGTCGCTGATAGCTTGCTCCACAAACTATTAATCAACAACGTAAAGCTTTTTGATGCAATAATCTCCTGTTTCTATTTACTGACTACGACATCAGCTACTTCTTCATACATCTCGCTCATTGCTCGCTCTTGACATTTACCAATGTGCACGATTTCTTATGCAATCTGTATGTCAAACCTGCTGGACATCGCAAATATCTGCGTAATGCTGCTGAGGTTGTCCATGTGTTTGATAATGTTGTGCCTATTCATCAACAAGAGATCGTGCGTTCCACTGACGGTGAGTCACACCTTAAGTAAATTGATCCCCATATCAGTGCGAGCTGGTAAACTCTGTAGTCTTGAGAATAAATTTACGCGCATACAAAAACATTTCTTGTTTCATATATTTCGCCAAAATTTTAGCAGTTAATAAATTTATGTCAAAACACACTGTTAATCAAATTATTGTTTACAAAAAGCATTGCACTGAGTCGCACTTAAGGTTTAGTCTCAAGCGAGTATGACTTTTGTTTGAAGTACAGTCTTTAAAGCGAGGCCATGTAGGTTTGCAAGAACTTGGATCGTTTTTTGAGACTCGGTCATCCTTTACCGCCATACGAACCAATTAGAGATGCGTAACAGTACGAGTCTATGTCGCAATTAGTACTTCAATGATGCTAAAAAAATCATGAAAACCTGGATGACCGAATCACGTTTTTGCGTTGTGTATTAAGCCAAAGCAGCGATATATATGTTGTAATATTGTAATCTCAGCCAAGATCCTTTTTTAATTGTTTACTTTGGAAATTTGCCTGTTATGTCGTCTACCTCAGTCTGCACTGGATTAAAACTTTTGATCCCCTGCTTGAAGTGAATCTTGAGCTGTCAATACTGACGTTGGCTCAACTTTCCTTCGTAATAACACTTATTATGACACAAACTCCAGCAAGAACCACCATTGTTTTCGGAGGAGTGGTCAGATTATACTACTCTAGCTGTAGAGGTTTTAGACATTCGGACCGATTTAAAGACTGACTAGATTGAAAATTACAAAAATCTTTAAGCTTGAATGATAGCTAGTGATAAGCTTTCAGTAAGAACAAAATTGAATACGCTTTTCGTAAAGAAGTACCTTATCCAACCTGATCTTCCAAGGCTTGCGTGGGCGACACGCGTTCATCGTCCTAAGCACGGAATCAAAATCACTCAGGACACTGAATTATATCGGATCACAGAGAACATGCAGCATCTGTCAACAGGGTTGCCGTGCACTTTGCACAGATGAATTTATGGTTATCAGAGTTAACAATCGCAAAGTGTTAGACTCAAGCGCTCATACAAAAAGCTGAATCGAGAGTTTATTAGCTGTGCTGTCTCACGAAAACATGTTATTAGCGATAAAGACTAATCGTGAATATTTACGTTTTACAACTTTTCATAACAAAATTGCGTTTCTTTCGCTAGCAGTCCACGTGTACCTCAGTAATCTTCATAAAGATTTTAGGTACTTACGAATTACACAAACACACCAGGCGTAATTTAAATTTCGTACAGTTATCAATATGTATTGTTATTCGTACAAATTTACCAAATTGGGAGAATTGAGTACACCAGATTACAATACTTGCCTGACTACCCCCAGCTACGATTAGGATGACACTACAGCTTACACTTAAATCTCTTGCTAACTATTAGATTCTCTCAGAGAAATGGCGAGGTATTACGATCGGAGCAGTTTCAGTAGATTTCTAGTCCCGAACAAACACCTTCATCCTCACCCGACAAACATGACCAAGTCGCTCCCCAAGCAAGAGGAGCTCAGCCGCCCACTACGAGTCTCGGACCCGTGCCTTTCTGCATTCGCGGGAAGTGTTACGGCAATTCTGCCGCAGAACTCACAGCCAAGAACATTATCAATCACTAATTGCTTTACTACAACTTTTTGTCCGCAACACATCTTGTGTTCGATTTGAAAATGTTTGAAATCGCTTGCCGCGCTGAGTTGGATCTCCTTTAATCCGGCCGCCAAGAGCGAAACGATCCAGGGAACATTGCCCCTCGAGCACTTTATCAACTCACAGGTCAAATCTCCATAGGAGCGCCATCTGCGCATCGGTAGGGAAAGGTGATACCATCCACGAGAGTTTGTGGAAGCTGACGAATGTCTTGCATAGTAGATGAATTCGTTCACACAGTGAAAACATAGTAAACGCCATCCTGCCCGCCTTATTGCTTTATAGACCGAATTCAGCAAAGTCGACGTCTACCGAAAGCGTTGTCGCATGCTTGACTTCGCACATTTTAAAGCACGATGCGGATGTCGAGGTGACAACCCATCGCCTCAAGTTTGTTCATAACTAAGATTGCCTTCATGAGACAGCTTGAACAGCTACGGACCAAGGCCGCAGTCGGCCACCTCACGCTAGTTGGAAGCGCACTGCGACGGGCGACCCTGCCTCTTCTTCTAGGAGGATAACGGCCGAGAGTTTCGTAAGCGGCCACAGCACCAGGACCAATCTTGCCGAAGAGAAATATTAACTCTCACAAAATTTAGACTGGTGGTAATCATTCCACTTCATCAGATACAGGTAACAGATCTGATGTATCAATCGGCCATCAAAAGTTCGGATAGTAGTTGACCACTCATTGCTCATCGAGCAATGCAAGCAGAGGCTGACGCTCTAGCAGCTGGCTTCATGAGCTCCCTCATTCGTCGTCTCTCTCCGAAATGAGATCATTCGGATACAGGATTCGCTTTTTGAGCTTTCTCATCGCACTAATTGAAAATAGATATCCCCAGCTGTTCAAACATGCGCCGCTTCTTCAAATAGTCGGTATCTCAGCTAGAGAGGATGATCACGACGTTGCTCGTCTGCAGCAACCCAATTTTTAAAGCAGGGTCGTAGTAAGGCTTTGTTTGGTAAGCCCATATATATGCTCGCATTTGATTCAGAATATCTGAAACCTCTTTTCGCTAACGCCGTGAGCGATATGGAACGCGGCCATAACTTTTCTTGATAGAGCGCAGACAAGAAAGGTGATTGCTGGTCAATGTTATTTTCATCCCACATCATATTCTTGTGCGTTCTGCAGCCTGTGACAATTATTTGCCTGAATGCCAGCCATCGCGTCGCATATTCTTAGTGTGATGCTCAATCTCATGTATTAGAGAGTTTGACCCGTTAGAGTGGTGGTACACATTACTTCAGCTATTCGACGAGTCACGGGCAATTCTCGATGACAGGCCTCGTCGTTATAGCCGTAGTTGTTGCATTTCCTCATGCCGCTTGCTATCATATACATCTCAATTGATTTTTAACAGTAATCTTGGAAGAAATCTTGAAGGAGAACTCAAGACTTTTCATAGAAATTGATCAATGGTAAGATCGACGAGTGGTCCCACGAAAGTTCCGTCGAACCGTTGGTCCCAATACTGTGTGTGGTACCTATGCTTCTACACAATTATACCAAAGTGAAAATGTGTATTTTTGTCTATCCACATTATTACAGCCCCTTCCCGTTATATTCACAAGGCAGCACATGAATATATGTGAGCAACTCGTCACAAGTTTGAGTGATGCAGGCTGCAATCAATGCGTACCAACCACACAATTTAAGGCCTTTCTTATAGGAAATTTGGATAATGTACTACTATGACTCTGGATAGTCAGATTTGTCACGGGATTCACAGTACCATTAGTTGTATGATTACCTAATGTTATGTAGAGATTGAATATCGGATGGATCTTTGTTAATCTGAATCTTAAAAATATTCGAAATAAGTTTATTCTGTCTACGCATCCTAAAGTAGCATGACCCACTAAACTCGCGAGCGCTGTAGACTGGGCCAACCAAACCCGCGCGACGCAAGCTTAAAATTGATTTCTGACAAGTATATATTTCCATGCAACAAAGTATTGGAGCAACTGAAAGGAAAATAGAGATAATACAAATATGGGACTTATCTCATTGCGAGCTTAACTTTTCTGGGTACTAGCGCACTTGTCATGCAGTGAGTCAGACGGAAGATTAATGCGTTTCTTGATGATGAAAGCCATGACGTCTGACTTGGCGCTCATTTTTTGGAAGCTTAATGGTGCACATCTATATCGTTTCACAGTGCTTCCAAAAATGGGCTATTTAAAAAGGGTAAGTAAACGATAGTAGACAACTCTAAGGATAAATCACACATTTTAGTATGATTGTAAGAAAAAGCAGTTGCTTATCGGTCCGAATCAGTCATTTTGCAAACGCACAGCTTAGTCTGGAGCTTTAATGCCTTTCTACTCTCGTTTTCCTTGTATTACCTGATCGCGCGCAGTTAGTATCAGAGTCAAATCATTCTGTTCGTTGTTTGCGCTTGAAATATATGTGCAAAAGTCTGTCGATTCTTGACTTGGATCGGGACGAACAGTGGTAGTATTGTAGCATTGTAGCTCTTCCAAACATAAAAGCGGTCGAAGTTGTTCTCTTTTGATCGCGCGAAAAATGCCGTAGTATGACTATCCCAATAATAGAAATGGATCTTACGCTTTGTGGTGACTACTTTTTGTGTTTCACCAAAGTCTAGTGTCGATAACATTCGAAACCTTACGAAATTGTCGCTCATCTCTGCATTATTTCCTAATGCTGTGATCATTGCCTCCAAACGAAAGATGCAAGCCACGATCTTGGCAGTAATTATTGTGCCTTAAACTGATGAAGCTACTGTTTGAATCGGATCCAATTGTCATATCGTTCTCATTTGCGCTATACTCGCCGCTCGCCATTGGGTCGCTCGCGTGCGGGCGAGATTCAACGTGGTAACCAACGCTATTCTGCCTTTTCGAGTATTGTGCTCAAGACAGATAATGTAACGTTGTAATCAGACCAAAGGCACCAAGATTTGAGAGGAGGATGCATGCTTTTCAAACTCTGTCTCTTTCTTCAAGACACAACTTCATGTATGCATAATGGTGAGCGGAGGCAGTCAAAACGTGCTGCCGGCGCTCTGTCAACGAGCACCACAAAGAAGAAATTAATCAGTTTCTGTGACAAAGTCCTCGACACTTATTTTACCTCAGCAAGCAGATCTTGTTGACGTTATGTCTCATAATGCACTGGCGCTTCGTTTAGAGCAACGCTTTGAGACTAAAACTAGTCATTCTATTTTTTCAAGGCCACCTCGTGTCAACTGACACCCTTCCCAGCTTCTTAACGGCTCAAATGTCCACCTCTGAGTCGACTTTTCAACGCCAAAGAGCTCTTCCCAACCCTACGATATGTACGTGAACACGTAAAATGTGAGAAAGCTTACTGCTACCCAACAGATCAAGCTCGAGTACAAGACCCTAACTTCGATTGGTTTGCTCTCTGCCGTAACCCTCCCAAAGAAATGCGACACCAGATGCGAATTTCTTTATAATTGTGACTAAACCACTAACGTACGCTACTTTGCTTACACAACGTCTCGTGCTGGAAACTGAAGCCGCTTACACTCGTAATAGCAGCTGCCACAGTCACGTCAGGATCTATGGCAGTACAAGTAAGAATACCTCAAATATTTTCAAGCCATTTTTGATCCATACACTCACCCCTTAGCTCATAGTTAATTAATTACCTCTGTGCAATTAGAGGGTACACAGCTACATCCTATACGTAGTGGTAATTGTAGGGTTACATGGATATTATCATTACGAACGACGTCTAGTAATCTGCCGACCAGATGGTGATAGTGAATAAGGAAAGAGCTTTAATGAGCACAGCAATAATATGCCTTCCTTTCGACCATCTTGCAGTTGTCCATATAAGCCGCACGTATTGAAAAGATTTCTTACGATACTAGAATCTAACAAAAGCAAAATTATCGCACTTAAGAATATTTGTAAATTACGTCTGTTTTCTTGGAGTACATAGAACTGGCTGATTGCGACAAATGGGTCAATTGAAGAAGCCAAATTCTACATAAAGCCTCATGTACGAGAGATCAACTCCTGATTTGTTCGCGTTATCGCTATCTCTGTGATTGCCAATGAACTCTCTCGACTGCTGTATTGATATGTATAGAAAGCAAATCCAAGATTGAGTGGCCTAAAAATGGGCATTTCGTCATATTTTTGTGCCATCTCTCTATAAAACGTCCGGTCGGCTCGTTTATATCCTAGATTCAAATAGTCCCAACTTTTGACAATTCCCGATATCGCATTTTCTGCACAAAGTATACCTTTTACAGCTAAAATAGGATCAGAACTCAGTCTCTAGTATACAAAACAAGTCCTAAAGCACAAGTAGACACTCAAGTTTGTCTGCTTCTTTCTTAATCCCATGGCGTCTCCGCCAGCCCCTAGTGGCTCTCCCACAACGTCCTATTCGCTATTAAAGCAACCATCACCTCCAAAGGATGAGAAAAACATCGACAATGTCCTAGGTAGCGATATTGTGGACGTTGTTGTTGATGAGGTGGACAGCCCGACAGGACTAAGTCAAGTTCAAGAGGATTATTTTAACAACGAGAAGCCACCAGATGATCCAAATTATCGCTATGTACATGTGAATGCTCCTGAATTGAACGCAGCACGTAATTATTGTTCGAATCTCGTGATTACCAGTCGCTTTACACCATACAATTTCTTACCAAAGCTTCTCTTTTACGAGTTTAGCAAGCTCGCAAATGCCTATTTTCTCATTATATCCATCATGCAAACCATCAAACCAATTTCGAATACTGGAGGATTTCCGGCATCATTACCTGCGTTGTCTATTATTGTTCTCATTGACATGTTTTTCGCGTGTCTTGAAGATTATAAACGCCATCAAGCTGACCATATTGCGAATAACTTGCCTTGTCACAAGTTTCAACAATCAACTAAAGCATTTGAACCGGCGAAATGGCATACTCTTCAAGTAGGTGATGTGGTCAAAGTGTTTAATCGTGACCCAGTTCCTGCGGATTTGGTCATTTTAGGCGCGTGTGAACCTGATCCATTAAACCCAACGGGAATTTGTTACGTGGAAACAAAATCGCTTGATGGCGAGACAAATTTGAAGTTGCGTCAAGGACTTGAAGCAACGTATACAAGACTTCGAACTGATGCAGCTGTTGGTGATTTAATGGGTACAATCATTTGTGAAACTCCAAATAATTCAATCCATCGATTCTGTGGCTCTTTAACGCTTGAAGATGGAAAAAAGGAAGTGATTACAACGAATGCAATTGTATTACGAGGTTCGACTTTACGAAATACCGAATATATCTATGGAATTGTCGTGAATACGGGACCAGATACGAAAATTATGATGGCATCATCCTCAGATCCAATGAAATGGAGTAATATGGAACGACGATTGAATAAGCAGATTCTATACATTTGTGTTTTAATGGTCGCCTTGTGTCTCACAGGTGCAATTCTCTCGACACTTTGGAACGCCCATAATCTTGATAAAGATCGTGACGATGCTGCTTGGTATTTGTATGATGGCAACTCAACGGCTGTGAAGTCACCATTGAGTAATTTTTTCATTATGGTCCTGTATTACTTTTTACTCTTAAATTCATTCATTCCTGTATCTCTTTACGTGAGTATGACGTCGGTGAAGTTTATGCAATCGCTCTTTATGAATAATGACTTGGAAATGTATCATCACGAAACGGATACCCCTTGTCAAGTTCGTACCATGTCTTTGAATGAAGAATTGGGTCAAATTGACTATATCTTTTCTGATAAGACAGGGACATTGACGTGTAATATAATGGAATTTCGAAAATGTTCAATCAATGGAATTGCTTATGGTCATGGGGAGACTGAAGTTGGTATTGCTGCAAGAAATCGTCAAGAAGCAGAAACATCCGTTATCTCTGTTACTCCATTTAGTGTCAAGAAAGAGTATGGGGATATTGTACCTGATGCGACTTTAGTACCCACAGATCGAGTGGTCCAAGTGCCATTTGTGAATTATCAAGATGACGCACTTTTTGAAGCTATGGCACAGAAAAATAGTGCACAGGCCAAAGCTATTGGTGCCTTCTTTGAACACTTGGCTGTGTGCCATACAGTGATGCCAGAAAAAGCGGCCGACAATAGTTTGCGCTTGAGTGCATCGTCACCTGATGAACAAGCGCTAGTGGCTGCTGCTGCATGTTTTGGGTACAAATTTGTAGCACGTGGACCAGGGAAAGCCATGGTTGAGTATTTTTCGTGTGTGGACAATCCGGATGCAATGTTTTGTCATCAACCTGTTTTAGAACATGCGGTCGGACAGTACGAAGTATTAGAAGTGCTCGAGTTTAATAGTACGCGCAAGCGCATGTCGGTGATTGTGAAAGGACCAAGTGGTGAGTTGACACTGTTTTGTAAGGGTGCAGATACGGTCATGTACGAACGTCTGCGTCCAACAACTGATCCAATTGTGAATCAAACACGAGATTTGACATTGCAACATATGGAACAGTTTGCGTCCGAAGGTCTGCGTACACTTGTGATTGGAATGACTGACATTGACCCTGAGTTTTTTGATGCGTGGGTTCTTCGCTATCGTACAGCAATTAATGACATGCGTCAAATTGATTTACGTCGAAATGGATTGGACAATGATATTGATCGATTAATGAACGAGATTGAGACGAATCTTGATATTCTAGGAGCAACTGCGATTGAAGATCGACTACAAGCGGAGGTACCAGATACAATTTATAAGCTTCGACAGGCTGCGATTAAAATTTGGATGCTTACAGGAGATAAAGAGGAAACGGCCATAAATATTGGCTTTGCATGTCGATTATTAGCTACGGACATTGAACGGATTGTTATCTCTGCTGATACACATCCAGATTTGACAAAAATTATGGATGAATTACAGGCACATGTACGAGATGAGCATGACGAAGTGGGTGATGGAAGTCCTGCTGTGAGTGCCTTGGACACACGTACTTCTGTTTTGACTAGAGATCAGCGCAAACGACGCACGCGCATTGAAAGTCTTGCGGAAATGCCAGAGCAAGAATTAGCTTTGGTGATTGATGGTGAAACGCTTGAAGTGGCATTAGAAGAGTGTCCAGAGCTACTGCTGAAAGTCGCAGAAAAGTGTGTGGCTGTAATAGCATGTCGTGTTTCGCCAGCTCAGAAGGCACAATTGGTTCGACTGGTACGGGACAATAAACCCGAAATTCGTACACTAGCGATTGGTGATGGAGCGAACGATGTGTCAATGATTCAAGCTGCTCATGTGGGTGTTGGGATTTCAGGGCAAGAAGGAATGCAAGCGGCAAATTCGTCGGATTATGCCATTGCCCAGTTTCGTTTCTTGTCGCGCTTGCTGTTAGTACACGGACGATGGAATTATGTTCGCATGGGAAAGTTGATTCTCTACATATTCTACAAAAATGTTATTCTTAATCTGACGCAATTTTGGTACATGATCTACACGGGCTACTCTGGTCAAAAGTTCTTTCTTGAGTGGGGACTTCAAGGGTACAATCTTCTCTTTACAGCATTACCGATCATTCTTGTCAGCACGTTTGAACAGGATGTGCCTGCGTGTCTTGCACATAATTATCCCTTGTTATATCGTATCGGACAGGAGAATACACGCTTTAATACGAAAGTTGTGTGGGCGTGGATTACGTCGTGTGTCTGGGAGTCACTCATTATCTGTTTTGGTGTCGTTTATGGTATGCGGTACTTGGTGACAAAGGCCGATACACCGACCATGTGGGTTTACGGAAGTACGTCGTTTACAATCGTCTTGATTGTCGTCACACTTAAACTCTGTTTACATCAACAAATGTGGTGGCCTATTCATATTGTAATTTACATTTCTTCCTTTATGCTTTGGATCGGTACCGCTGCGTTAATCTCGTATGGTGACTCAATCAGCTCATCGTACTGGAACGGTGTCTTTACCAACACATTCCGCGTGGACGCATTCTGGTTGGTTGTTCCACTTTTGGTTGTCGCTGCACTCTCGCGTGATTTTATGTGGAAAGGATACATGCGTATGTTCCGACCGTCGTACAAACACTTAGCACAGGAAGTGAACGCGTTTGGACTCACGCACATTGCTGATCAATTACTTACGTTCCCACCTGCTCAGAAGATTCCAGAGACTGCACTTGGAAGTGAAGCTGGTCGTGCTGCCGTCGTATCTGCTGGGACAACAAGTATGCGAGATTCAAGTGTGTCCAAGCCTGTAGTGCCGACTGTTGTGATGACGTCTCGACCGTTGAATAGCCGGATCGGCAATCGTCGGTCGGTCACACGCGGCAGTGCGTTCAGCTACGATGCTGAAAGTGTCATGGTCGAGTCGTTCATGGCGACAGATCGATATGCCCGTGACGCAAAGCGGACCAAATCGATCTTTGACCGACATGCGAGTCGCGGTTCGCTAGCGTTTCATAATCTCCCAGCTCAACCAGACGGAGAAAATGAGACTACACATCCACGGACTGGCATGGTAGATGACTCGCTATCCCGCTCCGCTGGCAATGTATTCCGTGGTGCTCGTCATGGTCACGGCCGTCGACGTTTTTTGTCCGTGACTGAAAGTTCACGTGGTCGTGTAGACGCACCCACCAGTTTGTCTGTGACCACGCTGGACCGTGTGCGCGAAAATGCGACGAATAATTTTGGACACCGTAGTTTCCATCGACCGTCTGTCACGCAACGAAGACGTGGGTTCGAGAATCGTGCCTTGTCAAGTGACGACGCGCACACCCTTGCACGTCTAGACAGCGGCAATTTATCTGTGCGGCGCAATTTACGGCGTAGTATGAAGAATGGGAACGACTGTGTTTAGAGATTGTCGTCAATATACATGCAGCAGATAAACAAAGCTACATTAAATGAAAATTATCGTTATAAGACGGTGTCGTGTTAATACGTAAAACGTTCAGCTGCGACTGCGACTGCGGCTACGAGTGCGACTCCTGCTACGGCTTCGACTTAGGCTGCGACGGCGGCTATGGGCACGACTCGAACTTCGGCTACGGCTTCGACTGCGGCTAGAACTACGTCCACGGCTACGGCTTCGGCTTCGGCTGAGACTGAGACTAAGACTGCGATTCCGACTACGTCCACGTGATCGACTGCGACTGAGACTGAAGCTTCGACTGCGGCTTCGACTGCGACGACGACGGAATAGACTGGGCGACCGGCGACGGGTACCACGAAACAGCGGACTGCGTCGTTTACCGCGAAATGGAGGAGACGCCCGTCGACGCAAAGCCGGCGAGCGTAGCCGTCCGCCCCGTCGGTTATTGCCAAAGCTGCGACTACGGCTTCGGCCGCGGAATGGCGATGCCGCGCGTCGCCCGCGTCCACGAAATGGAGATCGCTGACGACTAAAAGATCGCAAGCGACCGCCACGCCGGCCACGGCTCTTTGGCGACGGCGAGGCACGTGTGACTGTGCGTTTAGGCTCTGGCTTTGGAGCATCCGGTAGAACGCGCAGCTTGTTACCATCGAGCCATCCATCGTGCATATGATCTTTAGCGCTATTGGCATCCTCTTGTGTGGCAAAAGCTACAATTGCACTAGCTTTTCCTCTTGGAACAGCCATGTCAACACGCACAACAAGCCCAAATTTGCCGAATATCTCGCGTAAATGGTCGGCATTTACATTGCGCGTAATATTTTCGACGCGCAATGTTACAGGTGCAGTCTTTACCTTTTCTTTGGTACGACTGGGAGATTTATCATCTGTAGGTGACCTTCCATCTGATGAGAGAAATGAGTGGTGAACAAAGACATAGAGGGGAGATACTGCACGTACTTGATGCAGAACGAGAGCGAGAACGAGAGTGAGAACAAGACACTGAACGTTTTCGTGCAGAACGTGTGGGGGATGAATGGATCGATGAACGTGAGCGTGAAGGGGAAGGCGAACGCGAACGCGAGCGCGATTGACGCGGCGACAACGCCATCGCCTGTGAGTTAGCTTGGATCGTGTGGTGTGTGTACACGAACAAGTTAATCTAATTGGGCAACTATGCAATTCTTAAGTAACAGAAAAAAGATATGAATACTATATTCTGTCAACCGATTACTATCGCGTCGGTTCACTTTTCAATCTTCAACATCATGTTGAAAGGACTAGCTAGCGACTTGTCTGGCGCAGGCGATGTATGTCATGTAATTCATGACTTTTCAAAGTGTCTGGCGAATCAGTATTTGCTACCAAATGAAAGTATCATGTTCTCAATGCAGTCGATCAAGGAGGAATTTACATTTACAAACCACGCATTGCTTAAAATTGGTGGAAGTAACTCGACAACAACACGAAAGCTTACAGAACGCTTTGATTATCGTCACGAGACGATTACATTAGTGCAATTTGAAACTGCAGGACTTGTTGATCGCGACTGTGAGATTAAATTTCATATTGGGGGCAAGTCAATGTCGATTGACATTGCCAAGGCAGAACAAACGGATGCTCAAGACTTTTACAAAGTGCTTGAAATGCTTAGTCGTCGACAGATGGAGAATAATCGTGCATGGGATCATGGGTGTATGGCCCTGAAATATTCGAGTGAAGCTCTGTATCTCACGGAAAACAGTGGCCAGACGCTGATTAAACAGACTGATGAAGCTTCCTATTGGATCGAAGAGCTTTATAAACGAACTCATCCACTCTGCTACCGCGAAGTTATTACTGGAGCATTCCAAGAGCTAAAATTATATGACAAAATTGGAAGGTCTTAATTTTTAGTAATCGTTATAATAGTACTTTGTTGGTAGCAATGTATGATTTATTACATTTTTATCAGTACAAATCATTCTCACTTAAACGCTACGACTACTCAGTATGCTCAAGGGTTTAACTAAAGATCTTACGGGCACTGCCGACATTTGTCACACAGCTAAAGACTTGAGCAAGCTCCATGCTACTTCGTATTTATTACCTGGCGAAGAAATTATGTTTGCCTTTGAATCTGGAAAAGAAGAATTTGCCTTTACTAATGAAGCTCTCATTATGACATCAGGCGAGAGTGCCACCACTACCCGAAAGCTTGTACAACGTGCATCATATCGAGATTCGATAATTTCAAATGTATTGTTTGAAACTACTGGTCGCGTTGATCGGGATTGTGAAATTAAGTTTCTAATTGGTGATATTGACGTATCGATCGATATTGCTCGAAAGGAAGAAGATTTTGTCAAGGGATTCTATGAAACGCTTTTACTTCTTTCTCGAGCACAAAAGAGTCGTGCACGCAGTTGGGAACAAGCTGAAAAAGGACTCGACAAAGCTGCTGACAGCTTCAAGATCAGAGATGGTCACAACCTCGTGTCACTTGCGTCCGACGTGGCTGCATGGCTTGATAATGCCTATAATCAACGCAACTCACGCTGCTATCGCGAAGTGATAGCGACAGCAATGGCGCAGGTGGTCGCTGAAGATAAGAAGTAGATCGAGAATATAAAGCAAAAGGATGCAAGCAGCATCATATTAATAGTATATGTCAAAGATTACAGAATGTTTGTAGTGTGAACACATACCATGTTGCATGTAGTACATCAACGTGGGGTCTAGGGGTACTCTAGATGCCATTTTATGCACAGGTTGAGCAGACGAAGTAACATAATCAATGCAGTCCGTCCACTAGCGTACGCCAAGAGAAAGATCGCGCGAGTTAACGTAATCCTAATGTGAATTTTGCAACATTGTTTCCAATCGACACTTTAACAAATGCGTCACCAGAGCAGTAGTCCTGGGAGTTCCGAAACATAAAACCCATTTATTAGTGCAACATAACCTCAACTGAGGTTATTTTGAAATTACAGAAGCAAGCAAAAGCATGGAGGAAGAGGAAGCCTCAGGTAAGCGACGATCGCGCGAAATAGCTACACGCGCAAGTATTGAGAGCAACCAAGACTAACAACAAAGATGTATTGTGATAAGAAAGAAGAGATGCTGCCTGACGTGTACTTCGAGTTGGTGGATAAAGCAACACGACTCCCCCTTCCAGATACCTCCGTTGATGCGGTGACTGATTTACCTGATCATGCAAGCGTGATTCGATTCCGAGATGCAGTGCTACGCAAGTGCCCGAACTCCCTTACGAATGTTGATGCAGCCAACCTGCGAGTCTACGCAAACCGAGCAGTGTATGATGACAAGGATGGCAAGCCTTTGAAAGTATCGGCTAAAGTGGATGATCTTGGAAAAGACGAAGATCTTGCACTGATCGTGGAAGTGCCGCAGCGAGAGAGTGGTGTGCCAATTGTGAGTTTATTTCAGAAGGTCTTAACCCTCAAGCGCCTCATCTTGCACGTGAGGAGCTTCTCAGTCGTGTCTTCGCGAGTATGCAGCACCGATTCATCCTCTTCCTATCACCAGCAGCGTCGGGGAAGACGTCGTTATTGTCGCTGTTTGCTCGCAGATATCCTGACCTGAATTGTATCCCCGTCTCGTTTCTTCGTTCGCAAGTATCAGCGGTTGACCAGCTGCGATCATGCGGGATCGATATCTATGACAGTACAATGAACCTCAGCTCACACCAGAATCATGTTGTTATGATCGATGATGCTCAAGCGAAGTACGATGATAAGGATTTTTGGGCCACCTTGATCAAGGTTGCTCCGTCGTGGTTACCAGACAATGTTCGCTTTATAATCTGTGCGACGCATGCGCTCGAATGTGGAGTAGAGAGTCCAGTTGAGCTCCAATCGCTTTTGAAATTCGGCAGAAGTGATTTCCTGCTAAGTGACGAGGAAGTACAAGAATTCTTGGTACTGCCATTGACCACCGGATTGCCCGACAGGATGAAGAAACAAAGCTTCATTCAGCTGCTGATTCGCGAGTGCAGTGGACTTATCGGTGCGTTGCGGATTACACCGACCAGTTGCGCCGCTGATGAAGACAATCGTTGCATCGTGACTTTGAAGAAAGCTGGAATTATTGTCGAAGATGTCGACCAGCTGGTGAGATTTTCATCTCCATTGGCAGAGAAGTACTATAGCAAGTGTCTTTTTCCGAATCGTGCGCTTGCAAATCCTTCGTCGCTGCGTGAACTGATCACGAGAATTGTTGGCAACATGTCGGCATCTGCGCTACGGCAGTCTGTGGTTGGCGAGACGAATTTCCCCAAGGAAGCTATTTTCCAGCATCAATTCATGGAAGGCCTTGCGTTGAACACCCATCGGACGTGCTTGATTTGCCCAGAGTTATCACGTGTATTCCCTTCGTCGCCGGCCGATAGTGATCAGCCGTTGAGAATCGAGGGAAAAATTGACTTTTATCTCAATGGAAGTCTGCGGTGGGGGCTTGAGCTGCTGGTGAATGGAGACAACATCGGTGAGCACATGGCGCGATTCGCATCAGATGGAAAGTATGCTGCACTTGCAGTGAACGATTATGCAGTCATTGACCTTCGAGGCAACAAGACTGGGAAAGTCACAGGCGTCTCTTGCATGGAAAAGCGGGTAATGGTGTTCTTCCAGCTAAGGGACTTCTCAAGATGCCATTGCATCTTTGGAATGGACAAGGCAATCTACGATATTCAGTTGAAAAGGTAGAGCTGGAGCTCATAAATTCAACCGCAACGCGGATTCTGTTCAACGCTCTCAAAGCTCTTCGTGAAATACAATGGAAAGCCGATGAGCATGAACATGATCCGTCACATTGTTGAATCACATCTGATCCAATCACCAACGTATGCGAAGCTAACTAATCGAGAGAATCATGACCTTCATGCTAAGCTACTCCATAGCACGTTTGCTGCCAACACGAGCTACAACAAAATAGCAAACAGATCCAAAGCACCCGACGTTAGCGAGGAAGCTCCTGACTTCTCATATGAGCCAGCGCCTCAACCTCCATCACCTGCTAAGCCGCAAACACGCTGTAAAGCACGTAGGGAACGCATATTCCATGGAGATTTCACTCCAACAGGCAGTGATAAATCACTTGAAATTGAAACACTTGAGAAGTGATTTGAATACATTCAACATGAAAGGCAAATCACATCCAAATGACGTCCAAACGCGGTCCACATGTTATGAATTTCAATGGATTACTTGCGCGTCTACGAAGCGGAAAAACGCATGTAAATCTGAAGACAATGCTCGTCTCTCATGCGTTCGTTGATTTATGGCACCTGATTGAAGATGAGAAGAGCTTCGACAAGCATCTATTCAGCCTTCTCGACGAGCTTGAGCAGATGTCATATCAATCTCGAGAATTTGATTCGGCGTACAATGAGCAACTAGATGGTGTTGTAAAACGCCTGAAGATGCTACAAGGAGCTACGGCTATTGGCGATAATAATCCAGGCATAAAAAAGGAAATGAAGCAGCTTCTTGACAAGCTGTATGAGAAGGGAGTTTTCTCAACGAACTATTACACTCAGTTCAAGCGTCTGATGAAGCTCTCCTAGAGTCGCGCTTGAATGTAAGCAACTTGCTTGTGTCGATGTATTTCGGCTTCGCGAGCTGAGAAACGTTAACTTTCTCCAATTGCTTGGTGAGCATTTCGATGTTGGTAGCGCCATGGTCAGTTTTGGTTGGTCCAAGTGGTTTCACTGTTCCAGATGTTACGCCATCGCCGTCAATATCCATCGGCTGTGGCATATTTGCCCGACGAACTCTTTTCCTACGATACATTTGGATTTAGTTCCAGGTCTGTTGAACGTGAACAATCAAGTTGCCCAGCATCAATTCAGTCAGCCAATTAATTTCAGTCAATTCGAATGCGCGCTGGGATCGATCTCCATTTACTACAGCGGGAAAGCTATCACTGCTCAAAGCCAAAACAATTCATTCAAGATCGTTTGGCCAACAGCTGCTACGACCACAACGTATTCGATCACGTGGCCAGATGGCACATGTACAGCAAGTGATATCAATAACTACCTTCAATATTGAAGTATCCAAAACAACTTGTATTTGAACAACAATACCACTGGAGAATACCATTACTTTATCTCATGTGCAGAGAAGTCATCTGCATATGCAATTCAATTTCCGATGCTCAAGAATATCACAGGCTATATTGCGGCGAGCGGCTTCCCCACAATGCCAGCTACAGCTTATACGCCTCAATTGCTCATTGACAATTCTGGATTTGGAGCTATCATTGGATTTTCGAATGGCACATATCCGGCTGCTCAGACAACAAGCGTTTCGCTATCAACAGTACAATCGTTCCGCAGGTAGATCCAGTAGCAGCAGTTATTGTTGGCTTATCAAATCTACAACCCGATTGCAAGCAACAACCAAGTTCTCCACACCTTCACAAGCGCTGGAGTAGGTTTCGTTGGACCCACCACCACTTTCCAAGGTCAGGGATTTGCTTACTGTCCAATGCAAGGAACCAACAATGAAATTACGTTGAGCTTCTATGATCAAAACATGAAACCACATCAGATCATCGATAACAACGTCTGCATTCGTTTGCTAATCCGCCAAAAAAAAGCTGATTCAACGATATAATTACATACGTTTTGGTAAATCTTTCTCTCGATCATCATGGTAGACATTTTTTTGCTTGTGATTCGCTTGTAGAGATCAATGAATTCTCTGACTGGCATATCGCTTGGAAGATCACGACAAATAATTGCGAGGTCACGCTGGGTCAAGTTTCGACCAAGAACGACATACTGACTGTTGATGCGAATCGTCTTTGGAATACCAAAGTAGCTTTGACTGATGTAGATCATACCTCATCCTTTTTTTCGGCCTCTGATAATATACTGACCAATGTGAGCTTGTGTTTTCTTTGGTTCAAGAACCATGTCATCGAAGAAAACAAGTTTGCTTGTCTTGGAGTCATACTCGCCCATTGCTGGAACCATCCCCTCTTCGATCACTTCTACGTAGTCTATGGTGTCCTTGAGATGATCATATAGTGTCTCATTTGTCTTCGTGCTTTCTTCGTTCTTATATAAAAGTAATCAAAATGTCTTCTACGACGAATAGTCCAATCTTGAACAGCTCATTCCTTCTCGGATCAAATGACTATCTTACAAGTGCCGTTGCAGAAAAACGATATCAAAAATTGGGTGGAACCGGAGTATTCAGTTCACTTGCTGTGGCTGGAAATCTCAACTGTGAGTCATTGACAATTGCTGGATCTGCAGTTCATTGTCTGGAATCACAGCTGGAACAGTCACATCATCTAAGCTTGTTATGGTCGATGCAAACAAAGACATCGGCTCTTTCCGGAATCTAACCGCCACGAACTTGACTGGTACTCTTCAAACTGCTGCACAACCAAATATTACATCTTTGGGGACGTTGAGTTCACTGACAGTATCTGGAAATATCTCTGGAACGCTAACTACCTACCGGTTCTCAGCCGAATATTACGTCAGTTGGTACGTTGAGCTCGTTGACAACGACAAACACTATCACTACTAACATTAACAACAAAACAACGACTCTGATTAGCTATTCGAGATGGAATAACACATTGGCTACAAATATGATCGTTGACATGTATATGAGCAACATCGCACCAAGCTGAGGTAATACAGCAGCGAGATGAGCCATCTTGCCCAGACTCTCCACAAAGACCACAATTTAGACACATCTACTGAAAGAGCGAAAATTACGCTCATATTTTCGGACTGCCGTTGCTTTGTCGAAATCGGCAAGCTGGTCAACACTGCCGCCGCATGCGCCGCGGGTTTCAACCGTTGATACACTACACTCATGCACACGTATGAACTTGTCCACCTATACATGCTTGGCAAACGTAGCGCTCCCCGAGAAGCATGTATTTTTTTACTTCCGAGGTAGCCCTTCAAAGGTTATCCTGCGACTCGTTTACTATTCTGAACATTAGGACTTCATTGCTAGTTATCACAACGCTAAGTGTCATATGAGTCAGGGCTGTGATATAGCAAACGGTGATAAAATGAAGAGCTATAAAGGCGTGTGACCGCGCGTTTTAATGAATCGGCATCTGAGCTCTCAAGCGTTTGCTCCTTAAACAATCTTGGCAACGCACCTTGCGTCGCATCTGTATCGTACGCTGGACGAATCGTCTCATAATTTGACGACATCATTACCGTGGAATGGGACAATTTATGGTCGGGCGACGCACAACTATTTAATCCGGCTTTGACCATACCTCGAAGGTATGCTTGGCAACGAACCATAGCAATCTTGACTCTTTCGACGAGAGAAGTCGTGATGACATCGCTGGAGAAACGATAAATGATCTGTAGTGATCACAATAAAGCCAAGTAGATGCATCCTGATCTTGTCAGGATCATATGTCATTGCAGATAGCTCCGTGTCA